GCTTGGACCGGTTCAACTACAGATGTCTCGGCGACAAGATGTTGGCGAGGTGCGCATGCTGCTAGGCTCTGCTTATGAGATCCCAGAAGCCCTCCTGAAACGCAGCTGTGCCGTGCCATGCCGTGCCATGCCGTGCCATGTCCAGTGCAATGGAATAAATGCTGGGAAAATCATCTCGGAAAGCCCATTTTTATTCTGCATTTAGGTGGACAGCCGCCCGTGTTTGGATTCCCCCCAGATCCGGGAAGTATGTCTGAGAGTCCGACTAACCTGACGTGGGATGACCAAAACCTACGATCAAAACAGCTGTTGATATCCCAACCATCAATCCCAACACCATGGATGAATGATTTAGAACCAATGCTGAATATGATGTATCTTGTAGTTTTCTTGAAGCTTTTGTCAAGATGTTTGTTCTAAATATGTGTCGGAGAATGGGCATGTTTGACATTTAAATGCCAAATTTACCATGTCTGGACGAACTCATATCTGTTATTGCTCACGATTACTCAGGTCCCTATGCTTGATGTTTAAATCTGCATCTTTGATTTGGTTGGTGGTTTGGAACATTTTTTGATTTTTCCATTTCATATATGGGATGTCATCCGAAACCCGTTGACGTTCATATTTTTCAAAGAGGTAGGTCAACCACCAACCAGCAATGATAACGGTAATAATCCCATGAAATATCCCATGATTATATGATTAATGATAGGGATGATAGTGATAATAATGATATCCCAGTATTTCATTATATCCCATTATATCACTATCATTATATCACTATCATCACTATCATCCCATTATATCTCATTATAGGGATGATAGTGATAATAATGATCATGATAGTCAAGTTAAGTGGATGGTTAAGTCAGTTCTGTCCCTAGGGTCCCTAGGGTCAGGTTCTGAAGGTCCCCTCAGTTGATCAGGCCTGTGTTGATCTGCGTCGCCGTGTCAGTGGCCCAAAATTTCATGGCCTGGATACGGATCCTGAGTATCATCCTGATGAATTGATTGGATACGGATCCTTTAACTCATTAAGACTCATGGAAAACTTGTCATCATATGTTTCGATGTATATGTGATTATTATTATTGATATTTATGATATTTATCTAGTCACATATTCAGAATATACCTCTATGTATATATATATATATATTTGATTATTGTAATATTATTTATAAACGTGGGGATATCCCACAGAACTTGGTGAACCAACCGCGATTACTCATCACGAATGTTTGTATTCAGCGCATATGTACAAAGCTCAAAGAACCGCTAGTAGAAATTTAACATTTCAGCCGTGCATGAAGGACCAACGCCTGGCGGTGCATCATTTTGAGCCCAGACTAACAGCCAAACCATGCCATACCCACTATGGTGACTAGTGTTGGGTGTATTCCCTCTCTCTCTCTCTCTCGGTCTTTTTCTTTGGATTTCCATAGTGAGAGGTGGTAAACCCCGAGCCACCGGCAGTTGAACCGTTAAGGCCTTGCCTTTCTGCGGGCAAAAACGGTCAGAAGTGTGGACGCCCAGCTTCAACATGAAGTGGTTTACTACGCAAAGGGCTTTCTGGGAAATGGACACACGAAACATGGATGATATACATATATATATAGTATATGATGATGATGATGATGATGATGCTGATGAGGATATCCTACCCAACTTCAACTAACAGACTGTGGAATTTGGTCAATCATCTCTTGCACAAAAACCCAACGGCTCTGGTGTGCAACTCATCAATTCATCCTTCTCAAAAGGCGACATGGCAACCTGGCAAATCAAGCGTCAGAGTGGGGAACACTTGGTCATCAACTTGTTGCGCGATCAAATCATTCATATCCGTCAGCCATCGAAGTCTATCGAGCAGTTCTGATTTATCCAGGATATCCATCAAACATATCTATCATATCCTTTAGTAAACTTTAGTCCACCTTAAACTAATATCCATCATATCCATTAATTAGTCCTCTCACAAGCATCATCCATATCAAAAACATCAGCCTATCAGCCACAAACATGAGTCACATATCCGATATTTGCAACATGTTTCACTCATCATGACCTCTAAAAAGATGAGTTCAACGGAAACCTGGAGATGCTTGATGCTTTATTACATGATTGCAGCAATCCTGTTATTCAGAAAATTCATCAACATAACTGGTACATAAATGATATCAATGTACATTTTGTCCATGAAAAAAGTCAATTAGGATAGAAATCCATAGAAGAAGTCCAGCCAAAACTGCCGATCTTCCCATGGCGCGGCCTGAAAAGTTCTGGGCGTTGGCTGCTTGGTCGTACTGTCTGGCTGCCAATATTTTCTACAATTTTCTACTATAAAGAGCATCTACCAATTAATGATGGATAATGATGGTTAATAATGGTTAATAATGGTTAATAATCACTGGTTGGTGGTGACTGGAACCATGGAATTTGGATTGACTTTCCATATTATTGGGAATGGAATGTCATCATCCCAACTGACGAACTCACTCCATCATTTTTCAGAGGGGTAGGTATACCAAAAACCAGGGTTCTACCAAAGTCATGGTCTTGCTGGAAGTTTTTGTTGACATGTTGCACAGTGTTGCGGGTGTGTGATGATTGTCAACGATTGTTGCATGCATTGAACATGAACTTGAGATACTTCTCTGCCAAAAGTCAAACAAAGTAAACAGGAATAGGTTTGAAACACCTTTCCCTGACACTCGCATCTGTGCACCCAAGAAACTAAGGATAGATGCTGGGAGTTCCCCATGACGAGAACGGAGAAGATGACACGTGTGGTGCAGCTATTCCAGGCCAACGCTTGGGTAGTTTAGAGGGGTGATTTGAGATTTTGCAAGCGACCCACACGTGGGATCAGTAGCCTATTTGGTAATTAAACATGGTTTGCTGGAAAATCCAACTAGAAACCTCCAACTAGAAACCTCCAACTAGAAACCTCCATTATCCCAAGCTCCAATATAGCCTTTGGTAATTTATAGATGATTTTCCCAACTAGAAACCTCCGAATGATCTTTTTGGGGATTTTCAATTGCCATGTTTGACCAGAGGGTATCTGGGCAAATTTGACAAAGCGTTTTCGTAGCATTCTGAAGAAGGAAGAGGCCTCGTTTCAGGTTTATGAATCATTAGTATTTACTGTCATGGTATGCATAGCGGCTTGGTGGTGACTGGAACCATGGAATTTGGATTGACTTTCTATCTGGTTGGGAATGGAATAATCATCCCAACTGCCGAACTCCATCATTTTTCAGAGGGGTAGGTCAACCACCAATCAGATAGCTAATTCTAATATTGATAGTGTTATTACATTATGAATATGATATGGTATATGATTAGACGTAGCTATGCTAATATATTATTTGATATCATGCTTGTCACAAGATTCATTTTGCAGATGCCCCATCTGATGGCCCCTCTGGATCCTGGTATTTTCAACATAGCTATGGGTTACATCAGCATGTTCTCATAGCTAAATCATCATTGTTCTCATCAGATTCTATCGTTGTGGGCCAACCTAACGTCCAAAGAAACGCCAGACATGTAAGTAGTTAGATATTTTTTTGAAGCAGATGTCATGGTTTATCATCATTGATCTATACCGGTTGGTGGTTTGGAACATTTGTTATTTTTCCATACATATATATATATATATATTGGGAATAATCATCCCAACTGACCTTCATATTTTTCAGAGGGGTAGGTCAACCAACCAGATCAGATCTGTTTTTCCAGATGCCCAGATGCCCCAAATGCCAGGCAGAGCTAAACACCCGAGATGCGGAGCCGGCGCCACGGCGACAGGCCTGGTTTCTGTGGTTTCAGAGGGGTCAAAGTCGCCATGAAAACTGAGAGATTTCACTGATTTCATTGATTTCAACCTAGAAAAATGGCAAATTTCACGAATTTCAACCTGGAAAAATGGGAAATTCATGGAAATTCCTGGCCACTTAAATGCTGTGCTATGTCGTTGTCAATGTTGACTTCGAACTGAAGGGTAAACCATGGTTTTTACTCCATAAACCTACGACTGGGATGATGGTTATTATGATCCGCAGTCATGGTTGGTCAATGGGAAGGGTTGTAACATCAGGTTTACCCTCTGGTAATTTAACAAATTTTTAACATAGATTTGAAAATGGGCCGTCTAGAAAAGATTTACATATGAAAAATGGGGATGTTCCATAGTTTTTTTGTATGTTTACCAGAGGGTAAATCCCATTAGATCCCATTAAACCACCATAAATTCCCATGAAATCCCATAAATTCCCATGAAATCCAGTTAAATTCCCATTAAAAAACAACACGATTCCCTCTGGTAGATCCCGCCAAGCTCAGACCCTGCGAGGTAGCTGGGCACTCCGAGACAGGCTTGGATCTGCAACAAATAAACCCCACGCAATGCTATACCGTTCCCAAGGAAGTTGTTACAACGCTATTTTATATGTGTACAAGAACTACAAGAACATTAACATCTATACAATAATATACATATATATATATATAAGTAGATAATATCTATATAGTATAAGTAGATAATATTTACATCTACAAGAACATTAACATGTATAAGTAGATAATATCTATAATATATATATATATAATATAATATATATATATACACGTATATTTGTTGATGTATAAAATATACATGTTTTTGTTGAATCGATAGATGTACCCTTCGGCAATCAAACATTGCTACGTGGGAAAATCATCACACAACATGGCGCGGAATTTCCAGATTCCCCGGAGGGTTGCAGCTATGGCTGCGTGGGAAATAGTTTCTTAGTTTGGAACGTGGGATCATATATACACAATATTAATGTAAATATATAATAATATATATATATAACAACATATGTATATAAAACATGTTTTTCAATCAATACCTATCAAAATGGCATGTTACCCCATGATTCTTTTACACTTTACCATGTTTCTGAAGTATTTGGAGGGTCTTTTATACACATACCTCAAATTTCAGAGAAACCCACCATAAACATTGATATATCATGATAAATCATTGATTTTTACTATCCCATAGGATCCATGTATGGTATATATGCTAACATTTGGGGTATATTGATGGTAAATGTTACCATATATAGCATACATGGATCCTATGGGTATCTTAAGAGTTCCTGAGTCCCCCACATCTCTCCATCCCTGGCGTCCCTTCAACCGATCCTCCCAGGGGTCCCGAGTCGCTGGCACTCGCGCGCCTTGGAGCTTGGAAGCCGGGCGCGCTCCGCGGCTGCGAGGCTGCGCAAGGCTTGGAGGATGCGGATGGATCAAGATGGGTATGGGTCAATACCTATAGATACATTTTTAGTGGGATGAACATCCATTTACCAGCTATCTTGGGGTTCACTAGGTACCAGGGTTTTGACCCATCCCCAGAAGTGTGGGTTTTCTTTGTCCCGTTGTGGCTTTCCATGAAACATCATGGACCCAAGCCTGAAAAAGAAAAAGGTGCAACCCTGACGTTGCTCCGCGCCTGAATCGTGGAAGGGTTGCAAGTTTTTTGAAGTTCGCCAAAAGTGGAATGTGGAAATGCACATCATTCATCATCATCATCATCATCATCGTCATCGTCGTCGTCGTCGTCGTCGTCATCGTCATCGTCATCGTCATCATCATCCCTCATGAAGATAAAGTTAATGTTATTGCCCCAGTCAACATATTGTTCAGAGGGGGTGGTGAATTTTGATGCCTCATGAAGATAAACTTGATGTTATTGCCCCAGTCAACATATTGTTCAGAGGGGGTGGTGAATTTTGATCCCTCATGAAGATAAAGTTGATGTTCTTACCCCAGCCAACCTATTGTTCAGGGGTGGTGGCAAATTTTGATCCCTCATGATGATGATGATGATGACCATGATCATGATCATCATGATCATGATCATGACGATTATAAGTGTGGAGCAACGTCCGGTTGGGCGGGAAAAAGTTAAGCTTTCCTAGCTTGCAGCTGCAAACAGGTTTCCTAAAATGGGTGTTAGTTGGATGGTCTTTACAGTGGAAAATCCTAGCTATAAATTGATGTTCATTATCAACACTATATATATGTTATATATATAATTATATATGATCATCATCAAAACTCTAATATTCTACATATATATATACATTAATAATGATCAGAACTAGTAGTTGATGATGAGGGTCTGCCTGAGAGCGAGAATATACAGTACCCTGGTTGATTGGATGATATAGGGACTTTTAGGGATTTTAGGGACTTTTAGGGACTTATAGGGACCTATACTACCTAATTCGACCTATACATACTTATATTATATATTATCTTATTGATTGAGGATATCCTATTTTCAGACGAGCCCATTTCAGGCATGGTCTTTGAATACGTTGGATGAATATACACTTAGACTTGCTAATAGTTGGATTTTTAGTGACATTTACATATTTACGGGTGCCCCAAAGATTGTGAGCCAAAGCGATGTCTGGAATGTGTTGCTGGGTTTATTGATTTTTGCCTGGCTATTTAGAGGGTTGGGGGTTGCTTATCGTACCTGGAGCCCAGATTTGATCATTATTTTTGGTGATGACCATCTTTTCATAAGTAAATATTTTGAACCTGAGGGCCACCTGTGTTCCGAAATGACAACTGTAAGGATGGACTGCGAGCCGTTGAGAGTTTGGATGAAGCTCAAGTTCAGACATTGATTTGGTCAGGGTTGAGGACGCAAGCCACTTAACCAGTGCTTCATCTTTTCAGCCATTCAGTTTTGGCAGGGCAAGCAACGGTTTGAACCATGTAGGAATTCTAAAAGATGCCATCATGTTCATTGTAATCGGGAGACATCCGGTTTGTTAAAACATATGTTTAAGGAAATTCGTTGTCCATATCATCAACGGTGCTGACACTCATGTAGCCTTTATTAAAAATATCCATGGGCAAACCAGCACCATGAACGTTCGTATTGCTAACCATGGAGGTTTGGAGAATGATCCTCCAACACCTTGATACCACACCCGGACAACCCCTTGTCCAGTACCTTTTTTGAAGCCGTGCTGGGAGCGTTTTCTCCTGTAATCTGTACATACCTGGTTGGTGGCTTGGAACATTTTGGAACATGTTTTTTGTTTCCATATATTGGGAATAATAATCCCAACTGACTAATATTTTTCAGAGGGATCGAAACCACCAACCAAATACATATATATATATAATCGGCAAACTTGCATGATGCAACTTGCATGGGCCTTGAGGTCGAAACGCAATCCAGACACTCGTAGCCCAAGTTGGTACGCCTAGTCCACACGGAGAATCGGAATGAATCGGCCCATGACTCCTCTACCTCCCCTTTTCAAATGCATTCCGAAGCTCTCCGGCCCAGCAGCAATAGCAATAGATATATCGCATGGATCAACCAATAGCAACGATTCACATAGTCAACCTGCAAAAAAATGATCATGCTGCTGGTCATGATATGGGATCAAATCCCAGCTATGCTTAAGCTCTGCAATCTCTCCTTGCTGCAGGCTAGCAATCAAAAAGAGTCAATGCAACCTGCTGCTCGGCAGCATATGATGGTTGGACCTCTTGTTGGCATTCCCAGCAGGATTCGTTTTCTTCTAGTAGGATTATTGCAGGAGGATACATTGATGAATCCAACAGGGAGCCTCCCAGTCACAATGATTAGATTATTGGGCCCTAACCAAAAGTTGGTACAAGCATAAAAATATCTTCCTTGTATCATGGCTCATTTCATCTATCGATGGCTATGACCTAACTAGTCTGGACCTCTGTGATATCTTCCTTTGTGGTTTCAGATGACATGTCCTGCAAAGGAATCATTCAAAGCAGACCAGAAACACCCAGAAGTTGTGGGCCAAAGGCCCAACACCAAGGCTTTTGGCAGAGTCAGCCGCATCCAGCAGCAGACCTGAGCCTGGCAGGAAAGTGGGATGCCAACGACCGAGAGCTGGTTTCTACAGGGTAGAATTCTCATAGAATTTCACAGACGTGTTTCTTGCATTTGAAAGTAGTCCATCAATTCTCCAATCAACATGGATTTGTCCGAAAACTTGGTATACAACTGACTGATTGGCCATGTGTTTTGGGCAAAATGATGCTAAACAACAGGATTTGAAGGCCACGCCATGTTCAGAAAATCCCAAATGGAGTCGTCCTCTGCTGGATGGTGTGAATCATCAGGTTTTAACACCCATATCCCTTTGGTAACCATACATGGCAATGGGAAATCCATGATAAATGGAGGTTTGAGTCGGAAAATCAAGTATAAGTGGAAGATGTTCTATTGCCACGTCCCGGGAAATGATTGATCTCTGGATAGGTCGGATAGGTCAGCAGTTTGCAATACACAAGGTGGATTTGTTTGAAATTTAGGGTGTCCCTAAGTCCACCACCAGAATCCACCGGATATTTTTTGTACACACCCCCAAAAATGGTAGAAGTACGTACTTTTAACTGCGGGGTAAAGCATTGTATTTAGATAGGTACTACATGATTTTCCCCTCTCAACCTTGTTGTGACAAAAAGCTATTGTGGGATATTATCCTTTTTTTGAGATGCCCAGGTGTACCCTCTGGTAAACTAGCATAACAATGGAAAATCACCATTTTTAATGGCAAAATCCACTATAAATCACCATTTTCAATAGCTATGTTAAATTACCAGAGGGTACCATTTGCATGTGCAGTTCCTCTGTTATTTGGTCGGCATGACATCCTTTTTTCACTTCTGAGATGAGTTGGAGGGAATGGCAGCGGCGAGAGCAACTAAGTCGATAGTAAGTTGCATAAGTACTTAGTATATTATATAGTATATTATATAGTATATTATATAGTATATTATATAGTATATTATATAGTATATTATATAGTATATTATATAGTATATTATATAGCCTATCTATTTAGTAACCCATATGAGCCTTCAAGTAGTGTTAGTTATTATTTACTTCTTTGATCATTGAATTGAAACCGGAAGGGATTTGATAAGAAAGTAATCTTTCATCGCCCCTTTTTGTTGCTGGTTGGTGGTGCTAGTTGTTTGAATTCGCAACCATAGTTGGGATGACTAACGATTCTCCTGGGGGGGTGAAACCACCAGCTGGGGTATCATCGATTCAACCATAAAAAAGCAAGTGCCATCAAGTGCCAATGGTCAGGCGTCAGATTGGCTTCAGCAAGTATAGATTTATCATGATTTAGCCTGATATGACATAGCAGCTAGCATGTTGAAGATATAGAATCATTTGGCGGCTTGTCCACATCCTTTATCGGAATCTGATTTCTTTCCGAACGGGGAAAAAAAACTGTAGCTAGCTGCTACCTTGAACAGTTGAAGAGATCGAATAAGCAAATGCTGACATTCCCTCTGCTTCGCAGAATTTGCATCAGCAGTTCTGTTCTGTACATCATAAACCAATACAATCCTGACAAATGCCATGAGATCCTGACACTGAAACATCGCATGCCCAAAGATGGCATGCTCATCAGCTCGTGGCTCTTGGGGTCAATCCTGATGACTTTTCGCATGTTTCTACCAGGGATGATCCACATTCAATGTCGAAAGCACCTGTCAGAGAAGATGTCAGGGGAGTCTTTTGTGTTTCTTTCCCGTTGCCTTCATCACCACAGATTCCGACCATTTAGAGAAGACTATGATAAGGGCTACCCTATCAGATTGATCCCGATTGCTTCGCATATGCCGCCAATGATTAAAGCTACTGACAAGATCTGACAAGAGAGCAACGCTTCATCACTTAAAAAGTGATTGTTTGCTGTCATGTCCCACAAAAAATTACAACAATATGTTTTCCGGAGACTTGCGAGAGTTTTTTTTGGGTGTGTCCCTCACTTCAGCAGTGAGGCACCTAAAGGATGGAGGCACTGTCGATCTGTCGATACTGTGCCAGATTAGCCATATCTTAAGGGGTCATCTTCCCTTACATAGGTACCTCCACTTCATGCACCTGATTTTCTTCTTGATTTTAGAGGACATGGTGTTGCGAGATGTTGCGAGGACATTTGCACATTTCAAGTCCACAGTCTTCTCAAGGGACGTGGGCCTTCTCTGAGTAGTAGACCCAATAGGTAACCCTGGTAACCTAGCATCGGTATAAAGAGTCGGATAGTATGTTAAGTACTAGTGAACCCAATATTCTACATAAAATAGTAGCAAACCCAAAAATTATATTTTGCCATGTAGGTTGTCTATTTATGAATATTCAAGCATTGGGTGTATCTTTGGGCTTACCACATGAATTGGCCTTTCGCTCAGGTCTGGGAAAGCCCAGTGCTACTTGTGCCACTATCACACATGCTGGGGACCAAGTACTTACTTGCGCACTTGGGCTTATTAATGGGTAATAACCTTCTCCACAACTATATATGGTGATATACCCCCCTTATTGGTGGAACTGCAGGCCCAAGCATGGACCATTATTTGGAGATGGGTCACAATTTTCAGGACCCACTGGCCCGCAGAGATCCAAAATGATCGAAAGATTTGTCCATTCCATTTTCGGGAGTATCCTACTTCTACCCCCCATTCTACCAAGTGTTCTTCCCAAAGGTGGGGTGTTTCGACTTCGGGCCTCATCTAAGCCTTAGGAGCGAACGAGTCTTATCGTTGGATCCACCGGTAATCGTTAACATAGGAAAGGAATACCCTCAACTACTTAGGGTCTAGAATAGGTGACCCTACAGGGGTGACTTTCCAAAGGTCCAAAGACATCAGTCCCCCCATTGTAGACCTTTTGGCCTACCAGCATTGTAGACCTTTTGGAGTCTCGTCTTGAGCAGCTTTAGTGCAAAACAAGCACTTCTCTGGGACCATGATTCCAGAAATCATGTTTTTTTGAAATTCATCTGTGGCAGCCTTGTTGAGAGCAAGATAAAAAAATGATGGGGAAAAAACATACCCTCAAGTACGAAGTGTCTAGAATGGGTACCCCCCTGGGGGTAAATTCTAGGGTTCTAGAATGGGTACGCGATATGATTGTAGAACCCTGACCTCCCCCCATTGTAGAACCCTGGAGGTTTTGGTTCCTAGAGTTGTTTTTTTTGATGTTGTAATTTGCTGTTTCCGACCACTTCAGATATCTATGGATCATGTGGAAGTAGTTACCTGGAAAGCCTGGTGCCCATCGTTTTGGGCACTGTCCAAAGTGCCCGGAACTCTTGTCATTGGAAAATGTGCAATTTTTTGGGAGTAGGATTTCTACGTGTGTTTATAGCACTCTACGGGTATTTGTGGCACTTTTATTTTTTTCCGAACATGGTTCGCCAAAAGATAAAGTGTCGTTTTTATGTGTAAGAAGGTTTATGTTCACATGGGCCATGGACCATGGATATGAAATTATCGCTTTGGCTGCGCAACCTCCTGAACCAAAACATGCAAAGTGCATAAACGCAGATAAAAAAAACAGGATGCCAGGTACCAATCACCAATGCAACAAGAGGTCCTGAAATGATATCTCCCAATCATTCTGTGGATTTATCTTCACCAGGCCAATAGATATGAACTTAGACCCGCCATTCCTGTACAACCCTCTGAACTAAAATGTACAAACAATATGATTTATTACTCGGAAACCGTTGAGTTTTACACACGGTTCTGACATGATATCTCCCAACTCATTCTGTGGATTTATCTTCACTAGGGCCTTGGATATGAACTTAGACCCACCATTCCTATACAACCTTCTGAACAAAAATGAAGAAACCAATTTGATTTATCACTCTTTGCATAAGGTTCTGAAATCATATCTCCCAGCTCATTCCGTGGATTTGTCTTCACAAAGGCCCAAAGATATGATTTTAGACCCCCCAATCCTGCAAAATCCTCTGAACCAAAATGAAGAACTCAATTTGATTTAACTAAAATTAATTACTACTCTGAAACAGTTGAGATTTACACACGGTTCTGAAATGATATCTCCCAACTCATTCTGTGGATTTATCTTCACTAGGGCCTTGGATATGAACTTAGACCCACCATTCCTATACAACCTTCTGAACAAAAATGAAGAAACCAATTTGATTTATTACTCTGAAACGGTTGAATTTTGCATAAGGTTCTGAAATCATATCTCCCAGCTCATTCCGTGGAATCCTGCAAAATCCTCTGAACCAAAATGAAGAACTCAATTTGATTTAACTAAAACTAATTACTACTCTGAAACAGTTGAGATTTACACACGGTTCTGAAATGATATCTCCCAACTCATTCTGTGGATTTATCTTCACTAGGGCCTTGGATATGAACTTAGACCCACCATTCCTATACAACCTTCTGAACAAAAATGAAGAAACCAATTTGATTTATTACTCCGAAACGGTTGAATTTTGCATAAGGTTCTGAAATCATATCTCCCAGCTCATTCCGTGGATTTGTCTTCACAAAGGCCCAAAGATATGATTTTAGACCCCCCAATCCTGCAAAATCCTCTGAACCAAAATGAGGAATCCAATTTGATTTAATTATATTTAATTATTACTCGGAAACGGTTGAGATTTACACAAGGTTCTGAAATGATATCTCCCAACTCATTCTGTGGATTTGTCGTCACAAAGGCCCATAGATATGATTTTAGACCTCCCAATCCTGCAAAATCCTTGAACAAGAATTGGAAAATAACAAATTGATTCAGGTGCCAGAAAGTTCTTTTTAAAACAGATTAAGACATACTTTAAAACTACTATATGTCATTTTTTTGACATATTGCCAAACATTGTCTTACGACGCTTTCCCCTGATAACTACATCGAAACCTTAAGTACTAATCAAAAAATGAAATGATGTCATGGACGCGAGTAATAACCAGTCCCAGCCAATCAGTTTTTAGTATTAAGATGATAAGATGAACCCTCAAATGGGATCTTGACCCCAAAAAATGTTTTCTAAATGCGATTAATTAAAGATCAAATTGACCAACCTGAAATTTCCCGGAAATGACAACCGGGATCTATTTCTATTCATTAGGGGGGTTTGAAATAGGAAAAGGGGATTAGCATGGGAGCAAAGGAAGCAGGCGGGTAATTGAGTTTGTGAGATTGCGGGTTTTGCTTAGGTGCAATTGTTGACTCCGTTTTTTGACAACAGAAAGGCTCCAAAATGAAGGGGTTCTAGGATCATATTCCTGATTCCCCATGATATGATTCCAGAACCCCCCCAACACAAACTGCCAAGGTTCTAACATCATCAAGTTGATCCCCGGGGGCCCCCCCCCTAGGAAAATGATTGTAGAACCCCTGTAGGGGTTCTAGAATCACCCTCAAGGGTCCCTGCTCGTAGTTGACGGTATGAAAAAACCTTGCTTCAAAAAACATATCATGGTGCAAGATTCAGCGTGCAAAAAATGCTGGGATGTGGGAGCTGCTGTGATGTCATGGTTGATTCTGGAGAAAACCACAATAGACCTAGAAATCTGTACCAGGCCAAAGGTCTACATATCTTTACGTACTGACTGCAGGCAATTGTATATAGACCCAGCGTTTAGGGTCTACAGTGCAACCCCCAAGGTCCCTAGCTAGTACCTGAGGGTATGGAAAGGAACATTCCCCACTTATAGATGATTTTGATTGATTTTGCCTTTGGGACAACCAAACGTGTAGTTCTCACTATTTTTAGTTGTCTAACATCTTGTGGTGGAGTGGGTGGGGTGGGGTATTACTGTCCTTTGAAGTAAGAACTTTCAACTACGTTTTTGACTTCCACCTACTTTAGCATCAAACTACGTTGTTTTATTCTCTTTCAACTTCCAACTATGTTAGCATCCCTTGTAAGACATATTCCAAGTACGTTGTTCTCTTTTCCGTCAACTGCCAACTACGTTAGCAGCATCCAACCATGTTGTTATTTTCTCTATCAACGTCCAGCTACGTTAGCATCCCTTGTGAGACATTTTCCAACAACGTTGTTATCTTCTCTATCAACTGCCAAGTACGTCAACATCCCTTGTAAGACATCTTCCAAGTACGTTGTTATCTTCTCCATCAACTTCCAACTACGTTATCATCTCTGGTCCGCCTTCATGCCACTACGTTGTTATCTTGTCTGTCAACTTCCAACTACGTTTCTGATGTCTCTGAGTGGCAAAACCTTGGCACCGATGTGACCAAACCTTGGCGCAGAAAAAAAACGCTTTCATGTGCCAAAACCATGGCCCCACTGTCACTTTGCGAAACGGCCCACCAAAAATTGAGTACTTTTCCGGGGATGAAATGTCCATATTTGATGACCAGCGCACAGAAAAACAATTACTTTACTTCGTGTGATCCCCACCATGACATTTATCGATTTGTTACTGGCAAATCTTCTGGCATTCTATCTGACATATCTTCTGGCATTCGATCTGGCATACCTTCTGGCATTCTACCTGGCATATCTCCTGGCATATGTTCTGGTATATCTTCTGCCATCCTATCTGGCAAATCTTCTGGCATTCTATCTGGCAAACATTCTGGCATACCTTCTGGCATTCTATCTGATATTCTATCTGGCATACCTTCTGGCATTCTATCTGGCATATTTTCTGGCATATGTTCTGACATATCTTCTGGCATTCTATCTGGCATTCTATCTGGCATATCTTCTGGCATATCTTCTGACATCCTATCTGGCATTCTATCTGGCAAATGTTCTGGCATTCTATCTGGCAAACATTCTGGCACTTTATCTGGCATACCATCTGGCATATCTTCTGGCATACCTTCAGGCATTCTATCTGGCATATGGCATTTTATCTGGCATATCTTCTGGCATTCTATCTGACATTCCACCTGGCATATCTTCTGGCATTCTATCTGGCCGTTGAGGTCCAGCGGTGCACATTCTTTCTAACTTTCTTCTGCACATTCTTTGTCCCATATCTTCCTACATGAGGTCCGGCAGGGAACACTTGGCGTGGATACTCGCGGTTGAGGTCCGGCAGGGAACACTGGGCGTGGATGGTCGTGGTTGAGGTCCGGCAGGGAACACTGGGCGTGGATGGTCGTGGTTCAGGTCCGGCAGGGCGGGGATGGTCGTGGTTGAGGTCCGGCAAGAAACACTGGGCGTGGATGGTCGTGGTTGAGGTCTGGCAGGGCACACTGGGCGTGGATGGTCGTGGTTGAAGTCCGGCAGGGAGCAGGAGGAGAGGAGACGAGGAGAGGAGACGAGGAGAGGAGAGGAGAAGAGAGGAGAGGAGGAGGAGAAGGAGGAGGACGAGGAGGAAGCAACTGACATAAAATCTAACAACCCTCACCTGGCAGGTGGGGAATGAAACCAATGGAATTGAGACGCAAACTTGACAAAAAAACATGAAATCCATTGCAAAACGCCAAACGACAATGGGCCCACAAACATCAAAAGGGCAACGCCGCCGCGTTCAATTACCCACCCGGCAGGATGATCTTTCCATAAACAAAATTCTATTTATAAGGGATTTTCTGTTGCCATGTTTGATTATCGGAGGGTAAATCATGTCCACCCGTTTTGGTCACCCCTTTGGCAAGCCAAGCTGACAATGGAAAATTGCCACGTAGTTCGCTGATTTACAGTACCTATTATAATGAAAAAGGCTGATTTTCCAAGTCGCAAACTGTTTACCAGAGGGCCCCCCCTTGTATTCCCATCATCATTTTTATCATCAACCATCATCAACCTTGGTATGGGTTAGTAACCATCATCAACCATTGGATATTATCAATTATTAACCAACTGACAAACCATTACTAACCGTCATGAGCCTTCATTATATAATCGTTAACCATTACTAACCATTACTCACCATCATTCACCATCACTATCAATCATTAACCATCATCAACCATCAATTAAAACCCAACATTCATTAACCATCACCATTAGTCATTAATGTCAACCCCGGATTAATAAACCATGGTTTGTTAAATAGGTTGGTACTCCTCCAATAATCATTTCATCTGATACTTAAGTGGTACACTCCCAATAAAACAGCCTAGGGGTTTATTAACAGTCATTAACCATAATTAACCAATAACGATTAGTTATTATCAGTAATCCAACATTCATTAACCATATAGTCACTAACCATAATTAACCAGCATCAACTGGCAATACCCTCTGGTAAACTAACATAACTATGGAAAATCACATGGTTTTTATGGAAAAACTCACTATAAATGGGCCATGTTCAATAGCTATGTTAGTCATTACCATGGAAAATCACATGGTTTTTATGGAAAAACTCACTATAAATGGGCCATGTTCAATAGCTATGTTAGTCATTACCATGGAAAATCACATGTTTTTATGGAAAAACTCACTATAAATGGGCCATGTTCAATAGCTATGTGACAAATTACCAGAGGGTAACCGTCCGCGACGTGAATTTCCCAGCTGAGGCGTGGTGGCCTCTTCGGTGGCTCGGCGCAGCTGGGAGAAGCCGTGGCCACCGTGGTCCGGAGACCCGACGCATCCCGAAACCGGACCATCGCGGACCGGACGCGGATGGGGGGGGGTCATAAACAGTCAATGGGTATATGGTTAATATGGGATAATGGGTTTTTATGCGCATAAAAACCACTTGATGTCACATCAGGTCCTTGTGCAGATATGTGGAAAGAAACACTTACTGCATATTGGACCGCAGCTTTATCCAATTTCGAGGCAATTGCCAGGAAGAGCCCCTTGGAGGGCGAAACGCGTAGCAACTTGTTGCCTCCTTTGCGAAAAAGCTTTCGCGCGGCTTGAGTGAGCCAGTTTCATTTTGTGTGCTTAGCAACAATTAGCCCACTCGCCATGGCGCTTTCGAGTGCCGATCATCGCAGCCGAAGTCGAGCTGCTTCAGCAGATGCTCTCAACACATTCAACCTAGTTGGGGCGCCGCTTCCTAGGTTGGCAGCACCCCCAGGGTTGGGCACAATGCCATCAAGCCAACAACTGCTGGCGCAACTGCTTGAGCAACAACAGACTCAGAACCAACTACTTGCTCAACAACTGTTGCTTTTGCAGCAAAGCCAAGCAGCTCCTGCGACCACATACAATGACCCACAGGACCTTCTGAAACAAGTAGATCCAACTCTGCAAATTGAGTTGTCAGAGTGGGCCAAAGAATACAAGACAGTGCTTCAGCATCTCGCAAGCCAGACTGCTCTGCAGCAAAAATACATGGACTTGATCACAGCCGGGGAACTTCACAAACAGTTCCGTGATGATTCCAACAAGAGCTGGCAGTGGCCAGCCCTTTTCAAAACTGAAGCCAAAGAGGTGACAGTTTGCAAAGCAGCCCTGGCCGAAGGTGAAGAAGACTCACTTGCAATGGACTCTGATACGAACCCTTTCAACATTGATGAGGCGTTCAAAGCATTGCGCCAAAAGCATGCCATGGAGTGTCAGGCATTTGTCTTTACATACCAGAGACAATGTGTCGAATTTTTCACTCGCCGAGCAGATCCTTCACTGCAGAAAAGAATGCTTGAAGACCGTCTCCAGGCCTGGATAGCGAAGAATGCATCAGTTCTCTCACAGAATGCCAAGGTGTCATTACAGTCGCAGGTGGCTCAATTTGCCGAACTCACTTTCCGGACAGAACAGCCAAAGGTAGTGAGTAGACATGAAAAGGAGAAAGCAAAAAGAGCCAAACAACGTGAAGAGCTCACCAAAGCTGAAGCGGAGTTCAGACTCATGGATGTGAACAAACTCCTTGCCATGGCAATGTTGGAACAAACAACTTTGTCGTCCAAGGGAAGCGCGAACAGACAACATGTGGTTCCGCCAAATGGTGCTCTTGCCTACTTCCTGAAACAATATCCCGAGCTCGCAGCCAAGTACCAGCTCACAACAAGCAAGCACGGTACAAAACCCAAGCCCAAGAAGCCGTTTGCTGACAAGAACAGAGGCAGATCCAAAAGTTCCCAAAAGTCTGGTTCTTCTCATGTGGGTGGTAGAAGCTCCAGCCGGATCTCAGCCAAAAGTCGCGCCAGCAAAGAAGGCAGACCGCCTTCCAGAAAACAAAGCAGATCCACCTCACATAGCAGTCAGAAAAAAGGTGATCGTCGCAGCGAGAAAGGAAAGGGCAAGGGCAAAGGAAAAGGCAAGAACACCAGAAAGGCAGTACGTGTACAGACCCCAGCCCCGAACCGCAACTGACTAGGGCAACCGTGTCAGCGCAAGAGAATTCGTTTGAGACAACGGAGCTTCTGGAATGATGATTTTACTATCAACTTCGATTCCTATGTTCATTTTCGACTTCGAAGTATGACACTTGTACAGCTTGAGCGCAGATTCACATCTCCAGTTCATGATTTGACTCCGTCTGATTTTCATATCCCTGCATTTGTGTTTGCGTACTTGGCCAAAGGTTGCAAATTCATAGCGGACAGAAAGCCAAGCACAGTGCAACAGGTGCTGCGTGAAGTTGATTTGTTTGAAAAGTCTCTGCAGACAGCTGTCTTCTTTCAGGGCAAGTCACACCTGCCCTTGGAAGCCAGCAGATGCAAAACGAAGAGCTTGTGGACTCCACCTGCAAATCCGGATGTTTCTCTGTATTGCAGGCTGTTGAGAGAAGACCTTGGTAGGTATGAACCGCGAACCAAGAAGTCCAACGAAGACCACATCGACAGAGCTGCTAGACATTGGCTTGCAGCCAATCAGCAACATGTGTGTGTTGTGGACGCAGATAAGAATTTAGGGGACGCCTTGATCCCCAGGAGTTGGGTGCGTGAAGAGTCGCTGAGGTTGCTAGCAGAAGCTGCCGTTCCAGTCAGCGTTCAAACATACCTTGATACAACCACTTCACTGAAATATTCCTTGGACAGCTTTTTTCACAAAGCTTTATATGCAGGTATTGTGTCACCGAAACTCTTGAAGTTTCTCATGAAGGATTTTTCTTCGCAACACGCTGGCACTTTTCGATTGAGAGTGAAATTGCACAAAAACCCAATTGTAGGAAGGCCCATCATGAATTTGAGTCGCGCCTGGATAGCGCCCGCTGCAATTTTTCTCACTGAAGCCCTGAACCCTGCTTTGAAACAGTTGCCACATGTCATCACATCCAGTGGAGACGTTCTGGAGCTGCTTGCGGGTAAGCACGTGCAGTCTGACTTCATACTCTGTACATTTGACATTCGCAATTTGTATCCTAGCATTAATCGGGTACACTTTCTTGAGAAGGTTTCGCAACGTATTCGAAGTTTCTGGGCACACTCGCCAAAATACGGGGCTTTTTTGATACAATTGGTGGAATTTGTGCTTGAGTTTCAGTTTGTGCAATTTGAAGGTGAACTTTGGCAAGTCAACAAAGGACTCCCAACAGGTTTACAGACCTCGGTTGCTTTCGCAAATCTGTATCTTGCTAGCCTGGATGAGTTCATAGTCAGCCGATTCCCTTCTTTGATGTGCTGGTGCCGCTACATTGATGATGCTTTGGCAGTTTTACCCAGCTGTGACACTACTGCATTGTTTCAGGAACTACATGAGTGGCATGGAAGTATCAAATGGGAGATCTCTGGTAGAGGTTTGACCGTACCTTTCTTAGATTTGGAAATTACGCTGTCAGATGGTTTTCTGAGTTTTCAAACATACAGAAAGGCACAGAATGCATACCTATACATTCCACGCATATCCTGTCATCCTGAGGGAGTTTTCAAAGCTTTAGTTTCTGGCGAGACACAGCGTATTTTCAGAACATGCCGAGGGAACCCCTATACAATACAGCGTCATGTGACGTTCTTTCTGGACAAACTTCAGAAGAGAGGCTACAACAGGAAAGAAACTGAGACGCTGGTAAGTCAAACACTTCGAAGAGTGAGCGGTCGTGTGACCAAAATGAAACCAAGCCACAAGAAGTTCTTCTTCAAGCAGGAGTTCACTTTTTCTTTGAATCGTAAATGCATCAATACTGCACTCAAGAGACATTGGCATATCATTCAGTCTTGCTTCAAACAGCCTACAAGTGCTGTGCTGTCGTTCCGGGTTCAACCCAATTTGTTCCGTAGAGATTTTGCCACCAATTGGTTGTGCGCAGCCAGGTCAGGGAGTGGTGGGCAGGGACCTGGGTTTTTTATGCACATAAAAACCACTTGATGTCACATCAGGTCCTTGTGCAGATATGTGGAAAGAAACACTTACTGCATATTGGACCGCAGCTTTATCCAATTTCGAGGCAATTGCCAGGAAGAGCCCCTTGGAGGGCGAAACGCGTAGCAACTTGTTGCCTCCTTTGCGAAAAAGCTTTCGCGCGGCTTGAGTGAGCCAGTTTCATTTTGTGTATATGGTTAATATGGGATAATGGGATCATAAAATGGGTAATATATGGTTAATGTTGGTTAATGATGATTAATAGTGCTTATTAATGGTTAATGATGAGTATTCTGGGTAAATTATAACGACCTCACTGTTCTCCCTCACTGGAATCATGTTTAATAAGGAAAATCATCCCCCAATGGCCTTAATTCAGATGAGTGAAATATTATAATTTACCCAGATGATTGGAGGTAGAAACTGAGCAACTTGATAAGTTGATCCTATGTAAATCCCATTAAGTTAAGTATATAGTTGTCAGCATGATTTGGTACCATAAACGAAATTAGAGGTATAAGGTAGAAACAAGACAATTTAGCTATCGTTTGGAGGTTCCACTTTGTAGTTAAATTAGTTAAATTAGTTTGAGACCTATGAGATTCCTGGGCCAGCTGATGGCTAATGATGGCTATTAGTATCAATGCCGTCCCTGGTTGGGTCAGGTTTGGTTGGTTGTGAGATAGACAATATTTGGGTATGAATTTGTATGAATTGCCTGGTCCACTAAGGAACTCAATCATTACAAACTGTACTTACGCATGCAATTTTTGGGCCCGATGTTGACCCACAATCATCTGATGTCATTTACTTATGGATGAGGTTGTGGTTGGTGACATCGGTGAGGTTTGCAGTGCGATAGTGGTTTTGGAGTCAATCCACGAGGTTGTGGTGCTTGTGCCATTTGTGGTTCCAAAGTTTAGGTCACCCTGGGGTCGAAGGTCTTTTGGGACAAGTGGTTTTCCTGAGAGCATCAGAATATGTTTCGTCAGCTCGAAGATGAACCTGTTTTTCTTGACGGGACTTGCCCCGTACTGTACTAGATCTGGTACGTTTTTGGGCCGCTGGTTGTAGTCATGTTAGGTTTTTCCATCGCCCGACTGCCTGAACAACAGATATCTTCTGCCAAGTCACCGTATGTAATTATATTATGGTTATATAGAGAATTATATAGATATAGAATTAAATAGATTCGGTTTGAAACCATCACCCAGATTTGAAATTGGGGTTATCAATCTATCCACGAAACATCCCCAGCCAGCCACTCACCATTGCTAGGCCGTTTCCTTTTTGGTGGACACAGATCCCGAGACCATCTTGGCGGCTACAGAGGCTGCAATGGGAACAACCTACTTCTTTTGACGGTAGAATATGGTAGAATCATCCAACAGTGATGGGCCATGCTGTGGCATGCTTATGCATGTCTGATGTTTCCATTGCGGAAGAAGATTCCCAGAGGGTGGGAGGTTGGACAGAAAATTCGTATTGGGGTTGAGATTGCTGAGCAGCTGGTGATGTTTCTCAAAAATGGGGTGCCCCAAAACCTTCCCGGCAAAAACACATTTTTTTGAGGATGTGCAACCATTTATATACAGTATTTCCCGAGAAAAAAATAGTTGTTTGAGGATATGTGGGTTCCTTTCATTTGGATGTTACATTGTTACCCTCTGGATCCCTCTGGTAATTTGTCACATAGCTATTGAAAATGGCCAGGTCGACATAGTGAATTTTCCCATTCAACATGGTGATTTTCCATAGTTATGTAAACGTTTACCAGAGACTACTCTTCTTGGCAACTTGGTTTCTCTGAGGCACCTAGCCTAAAGCAAGTCAGAGCCGACTTGGCAGAACGGGCTGAAGGCTTCATGCGTGCGTGAGCCAAGGGGCACTGCGGGATGTGCATCCCAGGCATGGGAAGTGGTGAAAAAAAGCCAGATATAACTGATATAATGTCAACCCCGGATTTATTTAATAAACCATAGTTTATTAATTAGGGGGGTACTCCTCTAATAGTCATTTCATCTGATACTTAAATGGTACCCTCCCAATTAAACAGCCTAGGGGTTTATTAATCCAGGGTTGACATTAACTGATATAACCCATATGTAACAGGGGATACCCTCTGGTAAACGTTTACATAACTATGGAAAATCACCACCCTTCATAGGTAAATCAACTATGAATCAGCTATTTTCAGTTGCTATGTTAGTTTAACGGAGGGTAGTTCAGATATACCTGGGGTATAGTATGGTTATCACCCACTATTGATTACTGGGATGCACCCCCATATGGTCCTGTGCAGACTTGGGGTCCATGGAACTTTGTTGAGGCTCGGGGACGATTTTCCATAAAAACCTTGCAGCGCCCCTGTTGACGATTTGATCAGAAAAAAAAGTGGAATGAAGATAAGAGATCATAAAGATTCATAAAGTGTGACAGGAAAAAACACGATAGAATCCCCCCCAAAAATGGTGAATTGGTGAATTTTCCACCTCCAACCTGCTTTTCTTGGCGTTTTTTTGTGGTGCCAACAGCCGGGTTGGCATTTCGGCTTTCGTTGAGGTCAAGTCTACGAGATCCCAACACCTCTAGGCCAATCATGGAGCCTGGGCCGTTCCCGAATCGATTTTATAGGAAGGCTATGAAAACAGAGGGTTAGTTGAACTTGATATATTTTGATATCAGGAAGGATTAATGATTAGTGTACGGTCAAAGTCGTCAAAGTCCTGTAGAATAGCAATATAGCAGATGTACATGTCGTTTTTTGAAGGTTGAACACGTTGAACATGCAATATTTGGAGCGGTTCGTCCACTTTGCTGGGATACCAGTTGCTTTTTTTATGCCACAATCCATAGCTTGGAGAAGTGTGATTCATTGATGCGATTTCTCTGCCTGTGGTTGGACCATTGTGGAACTCTGCAGTCATCCCCAAAAAAAGTGCTCAGTTTCCTCATTGAAGTCATCGTTGAGGATCACTTGGTTCCAAGCAAGCGGCCAGATGTCAGAAATTCGCAGGTTGGTTCAATTTCGAATCGCAGGCGTAACTGGCTGGAGAGGGCATGGGGATGGGGCAGAAGCTGCATCGTCAGTTTGAACATATCTTGTTTGATCACTCGTGATTACCATGAATCATGATAGAAATGCACATCTCGCAATGGGTTCGCGCACATCCCAACTCGAGACCAGCGATTAATCTACAGGAATATATTGATTGACTGACAAACTGACTGATTGACTAACTGACTGATTGACTGATTGGCGGATCGACTTATTGACTGACTGATAGATGTCGCAGATTGATTTACTGTGATTTACTTAAGTATTGATTGATGGAGTTAGTACATAGATTAGTGATTTGTAGTGGTATTACTGGTTGGTGGTTTCAACCATGTTTTATGTTCCATAATATATGGGATAATCCTTCCCATTGCCTGATATGTTTCAAGATGGTTAAAACCACCAACCAGATTATGTCTTTCGAATCTTTCGATGTACCAACGTACATGCTCCATGTCTGGCAACTTAAAGCCCCCCGGGTCCCAGATCCGACAGGGCCAGGAGGAAGTCACAGGTTTGAGGACCTCCGTTTGTTTTTTCTTTTCGGGGTGGCTTGATGGCCAGATTTAGGTTGGAAAAATGAGGAGCAAAGCTCCAGTTTATCATGGTTTATCATCATAAATCAGAATATATCATCATATCTGGCGAAGATCAATATGGAGTTTTGTCAAATCCTAGATATGATGATATATTCTGATGATATATCCACATGTAAGATCATATCCACATATAGCATCCACTCTTTTTGTGGAGTTTTGTGAAATCTGTTGACCCGCGACAGAGCGCAGGGCAAACCATGAACTATCCCACTAGGACTGGGGGTTAGACATGGTCCATCATCATCCCATCTCTACAGTATGACTGGGGTTAGTTCATGAAAATTGGGTTAGTAAGTTAAACACCACTTTTTCATACTTTTTCCATAGAAAAACGGATGAATTCCTGAGGTTGGATGACCGCTTCGTGAGGACCATGACGCCCAATGAAACCATGGAAGCCTCGGAAAGGGCCAGAGAGCGCAGTGATCAGGCTTTGTTTGGATGAAAGGTATGGTGATTGAATGCAAAAACCTAGATTTTTGCTGGGATATAGATTGATGCTAATTGATTGCTACCCAAATGGATACCAACATTACTGTATCATCCTTTGGATATTAACATTGTTGGCAATTTGTCCTTTGGCTATAACTAAGCGATGATTTTCCCATTTCAATGCTAATATAGTCCCCTTGCCATGATTGATTATCGAAGGGTATCACTGAGAGTCATGAAGGTTTTCGAGTATCAACTTCTTCCGATTCATGGACTGAACAAGTGGATGAGTTCATGTTGATTATTGTGAGTAGCCTATCTCCTAGTTACAGATATACCCACGTCATTTCTACATGATGGTAGGGAATGCAAGCTAGCGTGGGTTGTGGGTAATTTGAGTCAAGCTTGGTCCACCACAAAGTTATTGGCCATTGCCAATATGCAAAGCCACGTCAGCGTGGCTTACGGCTTACAGTCAGCACTTTTCAATGCATATTTCATCATATTCCCAACACAGTATATTCAGCTTTCTTATGATATATGCTCTACGGTGAAAGGGTTAAATGACATGACATATTATTCGGGGCAGACCTATACATATTGTGTTGCTGAGCGGGTTGTTTTGTTGAGCCCCAAATTTAAGAATATCATTTTTTTGACCGAAACATGTGCGAACATGTTTTGTATCTTGCTGGGATATCAATACCGTATAATACCGTAAAACAGTCACATCCATATTTTTTAAAAACTGTATATCTGTATATCCACAACAAATGGGCTGAATGGAAAATCAGGAGGACCCTCCTTACATTTGGAGCGCCAGTTTCCTGTAGACGCGCTCCTCAGCCGATCCATTGAATAGCCATGAAATCATAGCTTGTTACATAGTTCATGATGAAATCATCTCAACTCACCATTTTGAATGGTTTGAATCCATGAAATCCGCAATGATTTTCTCCCATTTTTTGTTGACCCGAAGGATCGCCGGTCTTTTGTTGGGAGTTCGGGTTCTGGGGCAGGTGCCGCACGACCCTGGCCTCATCTTATCACCTGATGTGCAACCAGAAGGTGGCCTTGTAGTTGGATGTAGTGGGCAACATGTGGGAATATTGCACTAATAATTAGTGGATGGAAGAAGAATCATTGATATCGTGGGGTTATTGGAAGAAAGCCGTTTTTTTTCAATTTACCCTCTGGTAAACATACAAAAAGCTATTGAAAATTGCGATTTATAGTGGATTTACCCATTAAACATGGTGATGTTCCATAGTTACGTTAGTTTTTCCCAGAGGGTAACTGTTTTTTTTGTGGTGATAAAATCATAGCGGTCCAAGCACTAAAGTGATGGACCAGCCCATCATTGGTTGACGTGGCTCGGTTGAAGCCCCAAATATCCCCAGGGTGCTCCAACCTATGATAGGCACCCTAAATACGACCACGGCCTTTGAATTTGATGATTCTATCCCTCTAATTATGCACCCAAAAAAAATGCCGCTGGTAAAAAAGGTCTTGGGTAAAAAAATCCTGACTCTTTGGGAGGACTATGGGTCGTCCAAACCTTGGTTGCCCTGGTAGACACCGTCCCCATGTTGCCAGGATGCCAACCATGTTTAAGGACGTTTGTCAAATTAATGGGTTAGGGTTACTGGCTTGGACTTGACTATACGTTAAGCAATATGACATTCAAAACATTCAAAACTGGTTGCAAAAGAACTCGCAATCCACTAAGCCATAGGTATGTTGCATATAACTATAACTATGAATATAACATAGGTGGACAATCCCAAAACTAAGCAATTTTGAAAGCTATAGGCTTTCATCATATCTTGTCCATCCGAAAAACGCATCTCAGCGTTTTTCGGTCACCGTGGTCACCCAGGCTGGATTCGACGGAAAGGCCCCCATGGCAGATATCACTGGCCCGGGCGCCCGATAGATGGCTGGATTAGTGGATGGATAGATACAGATAGAACTAGATAGAGCCGGATAGAACTGAAACTAGATAGATAGATAGATAGATAGATAAATAAATAGAACTCTATAGACAGATAGAAGTAAACATATAGAGCTAGATGGATAGGACAAAAGGGTACTAGATAGAACTAGATAGTCAACTAAATAGATAGATTGATAAATAGATAGATAGGTAGGCAGGTAGATAAATAAGTTAGATAGGCATCACGCTATTTTCCATCCTACCTTGCACCATTGCGGTTGGGACGGGCCCCGGCGGCTCCCTGTTAACGGGAGATATATCCATAGTTCGATTGGTGTCCGGGAGAGTTCTTGGATAAAAGATGATAAAAGCCTATTGCCGATATACTTCAATATCTATCATTATTATTACAGTATTGGCTTTTCAATATACCCTACGCAGTTCTAGAGTCATTGTACAGCTATTTTAGGGTTGTAATGATATACTACTATTGCTTATTAGTTGTTCTAATCTCTCCCTTCCTTATTAGTTGGCGAAGCTGATTAGATCAGCTGTTTTCGCTCAATGCTTCACATGTTCAACATGTTCGTCATTGGCAACAGCTCACTTGGTTCACGTCCAACATGTTTGTGACATGTTTGTTGGCTAAAGATGTGTCATGACTTACTGGTGCTTAATAGGGAATGGATAGGAATGGGGTTGCTGGGATGATTATTACTAGTGATGACTGGGATCATTCCCTCATTCCCTGCGTAAAACGCACCAGTAAGATGAAGTGTCAAAGAATGCGGAATTCCCAGGAATTCCCAAGTGTCCTCTGTTGATGAACAGATCCCAAATGTGGCCCCAGCCATCGAGTTGCCATCGCGCGCGCGATTCCCTAGGCATCATCGATCCTTGGGCCTTGCTCCATGGGAACTCGAGGTCACCGCGTTGAGCCGAGGGAGATCAGCAGTGGGGTCATGGCATATTTCTGAATCTTGATGTGATGCGTGTGAATCATGATATATCATCATACTAGTTGAAATTATTTCCAGATACATATATATATATATATACATATTATATATATAAATGATCAATGTATATATATATACATATTATATATATAAATGATCAATGTATATATATATACATTATATATATATATATATAAATGATCAATGTATATATATATATATACATATATATATATATATGAAGGTTTCCTAAAATGGCGGATTCCTAAGTCACCATAGGTTTGAACACTAAAATGGTCATCCGATGATTTGGGGATTGTGCAAGGAGCCCAGCGCGGAGCTGCCAAAGTCAGCTCAAGGTGGGCAGCTGGGAACCCCTGTGTCCACCGATTTTCGCGGAGGAATATTCCGAACGAATCGCTTAGTAAATGCACATTGATGAAGAACCTATCTCTTCTTTTGAAGTTTCTTTTTCTATACCCATGACGGATCCATGGTGCTGCTATATATGGTAACATGGATCCCATCAATATACCCCCTTTATGTTAGTATATATACCATACATGATGGATCCTATGGGTATAGGTAAAGTCTTGGTGTTGGACACCCGATTGCCACCAGCCAGGTGCCGGTGCCAAGACGCGGGCGAACGCCCCGAGCCTTCCTCGAGTGGCTGAAGATTCACCTTTGAGTCCAAGTTTTGACTGAGCGGAGTTTTTCCCGTGCGGCGAGTTGTGCAAAGTTTTCACAGCGGGAAACTGGGGAAAACCGTTGGTATATTTTATGGCATATCCTGTGCTTAGCCATTTTTATGGGATATAATGTGCTTAGACATTTTTATGGGATATCCTGTGCTTAGCCATTTTTATGGGATATAATTTAATTAGACATGTGTATGGGATATACTGTGCTTAGCCATTTTTATGGGATATACTATGCTTAGACATTTTTATGGGATATAATTTAATTATATAGACTATTTTATGGGATATACTGTACTTAGACTATTATTTAATGAGATATACTGCACTTAGACAATTTTATTGGATATACTGTACTTAGTTTGTTTTATAAGATATACTCTACTGAGACTATTCTATGGGATATAACGTACTTATATAGACCTTTTTGTAAAATATACTTTTGTAAATATATATATATATATTGCACTGAGACTATTTTATGGGATATACTGTACTTAGACTATGTCGTGGGATATACTTAGACGGCTCATTGGGGACGCAAGCCAACAAACATTGTAATGTAAACCAATAAATAAATAATGAATACTAGTGGGATGGGACTTGGAATATATATATATATACTTTTATATACTGATGGATACTTGGACTATAACCTCGAGGAATACTGCAGGGGATAATCTGGGTAAACCTTGATACTCAGATTGCTATCCCAAAAATGATAGACACATCATGTATGGCTATAAAATGGTGGAATTTACTCTTCTATCTTTTTAGGGGTTACTATATAAATCATGGGGGGGGCCATGGACCATGGGTACTTTCGTACTGCCATTTAATTGCCATGGGTTGCCAGCGAATCTGAAAAAATGGCCTGGCTTGGTAAAACCAAGAAAGCTCACCATTCCAAAATAAAGTGTTGATAAAATTGGGCATACAACTATTTCCCATAGGATCCATATGGATCCATCATGTATGGTATATATGCTAACATTGGGGGTATATTGATGGTAAATGTTACCATATATAACATACATGGATCCTATGGGTGTATATATATAAGTTAAGTGGCATGATAGTTGTTTCTTTTAATGACCTCCAATGGTTGGTTTCTGGGAATGAATGGTTAATTATTGCAACATTCGGTTTACGAGACTACTTTGATTGCCATACCAGGGGCGATTTCCAAGAGAGAACCATGTTTCATGTTTGATATTGTATGCTGAAGATGATACATGAAAGCAACAGAACAGACGTCATGCCACGCAGATGTAGATAGGCACAGCATGCAAAAGCATTTGAACAGTTTGCTCAACTGCTTTCGGAGAGACAACTTACATGTTTTCTACAACAAGGCACATGATCAAGAAACCCAATGATTGTCCTCACAATTTGTTCTGTTCTTGTTGAAGACACACTTTCGGCATGAATGGCTTAAACTGCTTAAACATGAACAGCCCCTGTGAGATTCGCACACATTAGATACATGTGTACCCTATGTAGTGCAATGTGATGATGAATCTTGACCCAGAGTTTCCAGTGAAGATGCCCAAAAAAAACAATCTTCTCACCGGCCAGAAGTTGCCGCTGGGAGCAGTCGGTGCCAATGTCTTATTGAATCCAAAATGCAGATACAAAATGTCTCGCTGCGTCTCGATGCCGTGTCGCATTTTTTTGTTTTTGGAGTGGAAGTCTCTCTTGAGATGTTGGCGATGTCTTACCTTTTTCATGAATTTTCATGTGAAACCAGTGACCGGAAAATCCAGGGAACAAAGATAAAACTTCAGCTTGAGACTCCCAACACTGGGGATTTCCATCTTTCTATCGTCTCCCATCCCAAAGAAGACATCCCGCCGTGGCTTCGTCACATGTCAATTTTTGAGCCAAGTTTCATGACTGGTTGGTGGTTTGGAACCTTTTTTTATGTTTCCATATATTGGGAATAGTAACCCCAAGTGACGAATTCCATCATTTTTCAGAGGGGTGGCGAAAAACCACCAACATCCATGACATCCAAGACGACTTTGAGGATCCCCACAGCAAAATTCATCGCAAGTGATCATGAAAAACCCACCGTCGCAGGGGATCCCATCCACACAGGCAGATCCTGGAGTCGTTTACGTTGAGAGGAGCGGTGGAAGGAGTGGTGAAAGCAGTGGAGGCTGCAGGGCTTAGATCGGCTTAGTCTGTTGGTTATGGGTCAAAGCAACTGACTCCCGAAAGTCAATAGTAGCCATAGCCAATAGTTAATAGTTAACAATAGTTAATAGTTAATAAGAGTTAATAGTAGTAAATAATAATATAATAGTAGCAATACCCATGCTATTGGTTGTTAATAGCTAATACATTAGAACCATAATTCTTGACCAATTGTTTTTATGGTTTGATACGTTCAGAAGGACCAATCGTTTGTGGGTTAAGGAAGGGTACCCCTTTAGCAGACACTTTGCTTTGGATATTGTCTAAAACCATCTATGGTTTGATTGTTTTCTAAACATTTCCACATGTTTTTTTCATTTGAAATCATCTTAAGTCTTATCATTCCAGATTTATTGATAGTTGGATGTTAAGGGATGATAGTTAAGGCATAAATTTTGTCTATCTTTTCATCATTTGAAACCAGCCCTTTTTTATCACCATAGACAATATAGTTGAATCACCTTTTATATGATATTAATCAATATTAATCACCTGTTTATAGATGATAGCCCTATTGATAGTTAAATCACCATATCACCATTCTAAGACCATCTCTTTCTTACTCGTTTCCAAGTTGTGCCTTTGAACATTGCGAGACCGTTTTATTTTTTGTCAAAAAACCTAACACAAAACAACAACCAAAGGCGAAAAACATATGGTTGGTGGTTTGAAATAATGTTTATTCAAATTATTCTCCATCCTAGGGGTTTTGATCCCCATTGACTTTGAGTGAACCAGTGGGTGGATTGTTGCTACATCGACAGTTTTTTTTTGGTGGAAACGTTGGTTTCACGTTGTTTGTTAGATATTCATAGAAATGTCATGGTGTATGTATACCCCCGTGTTTATCACGTGTTACTATGTTTGCAGTTTTGTGTACTAATCTAGTTATAGACTAGTTCATTGGTGGAATCATATTAAATCCCACTAATTAGATCTAATTAGATTATAACCCACTATTGGTCGGCCAATATCACCAAGTAAGAAGTGTTCAAAACCCCTGTTGGTTGATGATTACAGTGGGGTATACAACCCAATATATTAGGGAATTATCATAATCCATGAACTGGGAAAGCTCTTCTTAATCGGCAACTAAAGGGACAACGTTGCGGGTTTTGAACCTGCAAAAACGGTTGTTTTGCCTATTTCTCTATCACTTTTGGAACTTTAAGATAATGAGTTGTTCTTGCATCACATCATGGTATGATAGTTCCCTGTCTCTTCTCTGTTCAAAAGCTGCAAAAGCTCATCCTAAAATGTCGATCGCTGCATCTCATCATGTGTATTGCTTTGTGTGCTTTATCAGCGCAGGATGTATTTTTTACCTCTTGCTTACCTGTTACCTATTTTTTCATGTATTGTCCATTTTTAGCCCCTCATGAACTTCACGTAAATTTGTAAAATCACTGGGTTATTTTAGAGTTTAAACATATTGAGTACCCCCAAAACAATCACTGATATTATGGGCTGAAACAACCATGAAATGATGGATACTTGGAGGGTTTTGTCAGAAACATCTTTGACACCTCATCCTAATTGAAGTTTCTACCTCTTTGGAGGTTCCTATACATACGTATCATATATATATATATATAATATATATGTATACATGTATATGGTCATCCTGAAGTAGATAGAATATGAAAAGTTCAAAGAATCACTACTAAAATTGCAATATAGTTGAACATTCTCTCTTCTATCTTCTTCAGGATGGTTGCCAGACCCTTGTGTTACCCATCATTTTAGTACTTTTAGATCATTTTTTTGTGGGTGTATTTAGAGGGTCCAGCTATATATATATATCATGATAAATCAAGCTTTTTGGACTTGAATATACTACTAAATCACTATTAAATCATTCTATCCCGCTAAATAGCACCGCTAAATCACTATTAAATCACGATATCCCATTGAATCATCATGAAATCGCCGTTAAAGTTGGTTTGCACCCCATCACTATTAACCATAGATATGTGTGCATATACCATATATGTACATCTCTTCTCCAAGGGATAGACGGACCCATCAGGAGCACGCAGTGCACTGAAGATGATGAGTCGCCACTGTCCTTCATCGCCGATACGGTGCGGTATGACATCCTGTTGGGAAACACACTGCTGGTTGGTGGTGTGGAACATGTTTTTTTTCCATAATATATGGGAATAATCATCCCAACTGACTCATATTTTCAGAGGGGTTGAACCCACCAACCAGTTTATATATGGTGGGATTGGTATAGGTATAATTGGGAATAGTCATCCCAACTGACGAACTCCATCATTTTTCAGAGGAGAGGAAACCACCAACTAGCATAGGTGTGGGTCAAAATAAAAGACCTGGGGGACCACAGATGTTAGTCCAATTATGTCCAATTGAGTATTCGTTCACAATCCAATTATTGGGGGCCCAATTTTGACCCATATCCAAATATTGTTGATACATTACATGTGAGCGATTCCACTAAAAATACTCGTGTTGATTGGTGATTAAAAAGACTTATACTAGCTGGTCCTTAGCAAAAATACCCGTTTTGATTGGTTACTATAGGGAATTATACTGGTGACTGGGGATTCTTGTAAGCTTTCTGTTAGGGACACTTGTCAACCAACTAGTATACTAGTACAATACGTGCTTAATGGCTCATGTGAATATAATGCATTTATATATATATATATATGATACATCGACTATATTTTACACATAGAGAGGGATCTTGAAAAAAACAAACATATATATATATATATACAACACCTACTTTTGACATTTTTCAACATGCATACTGACAAGAGTTGTTGGTCAATTGTCAATATTTATGAATATATGTATCTATACATACTATAGACTCTAGATACTAAATATAGGGGAATGTCGAAACAGAGAAACAACACTGATGGATTGTTTAATAAACACACCATTACCATGATTAATATAATTCCCCATTTATCTTTATTTTTTTCTCTGTATCCACACCGACAGGTCAGCAACATTGCAGGGCATCGTGCCACTTGACGGAAATGGAAAGCCATGAAGAATAGGGCTAACGCTGATAAATGATGGCATATTTTGTGGGTTGTAATGGCAATTGGAATATATGACCAACTTGATCTGACATCTGGGTTTGTCTGAAAAAATGTATATCCATAATTGTGGCTGTTTTAATGGAGGCATTGTGTAAAAGATAACATGCACACACACAAAAAAAAAAAACATGATTTTGAGGCGCCCTATTTGCAGACAAAGCCATGTAGATGAATGGTATATCAATGGTTCATTTTATTCATGTTCTGAAAACTATGGGTTATTCTAAGATTCAATTCAATTGCTGATTTTTCTAGCCTGGATCGCAGCTTGTGACAAATTCAGGAGGGCAACCCCAGATTTCTGCCAGAGATTCTGGGTCCCAAAAAGCAGAGATTCAATCAGTCATGGCAGTCCCCATGTTTCTGGGAACTTCATCTATGGATGCTGTTAGAAAATGTCAGAAATTCCTGGGAATTTCGACATGTTCTCTTCACCGAAACGGGGACGGATGACCCATGATGACCCCGCGCATCTCCCTTCAACCGGTGCTTCAGGTTGTACCTGCACCATACGAGGGCGGCCCAAGCATGTATCACGACTGACCGAGCGAACACATGGAAAATCCATGGAAATCCATAAGGAGGGGCCCTGCTCCCGGAGTGCATAATTTTGCAACAAGGATATGACCTCAGTTATTTAGCTGAGTAAAGATACTACTTAATACTAGTTAGTAACAGTTAGTACTAGTACATGCATATAATAATTATAATTATCATTATATAAATAGAAAACTTAGGGGAATGGGGATGTTAGGGCTATAGTTTAGACCCCAACTTCCAAGGATGATGGTTTGATCCCAGCAAATGGAAAGATGGTTGCAGTTGATACTTTTAAGATGGATTGAAATCACCAACCAGTGATGTAATGGTGATATTTTTTTGAGGAACCTTTGGATTCAAGCACTGGTCAACTCTTTTTTTCTTGCCGGTGAAGGATCTCAGGGTTTGCAAACATGACATTGCTGATCATCGAGGGAAAAACTGTAGGATTCTGCACCACCAAGTCAGATGAAATTGCTGATGTGATTGAGGTGAAAACATCAAGTCAAATCAAGTAAATCGAGTACATTCATGTCTGACATATGAAGAGATCACATGTTCAGAGAAACATATTCTGGTTGGTGGTTTCAAACATGTTTTATTTTCCATTTCATATATGGGATAATCCCAACCCCATTGACGAACTCATATTTTTCAAGACGGTTATTGCACCACCAAACAGTTTGTGCTTTCAGATATTGGGGAACGTTCCATCCAGTGTGGGATCTACCACCCCCTTCTGTGATTTTTTTTGGGACTCCCAAGTAGATATCAAGCACCGAACACCTGGACAGTTTCATAGGAGGATTCCTGTAAGAAATTGCAGTTTTGTGATCGAAATGAATCCTTTCTGATTGCATAATTGCTGCAATTTAGACAGATTCATGACAAACCATGGAATCATACTTCTCATAGAAGGGGACAGCGGCTCGGATGCTAATGTACAGTTGTCCTGGGTGAATTGCTGGATCTCTTCACTAAAAGGAACCAAAACATGGCATGAAGGGGGGGAGGAATCACCTATAAACCCTTATTATCCCCATGAAAAAAGAAGTGGTAAAAGCACTAGAATTATAGGGTAACAATGGGTAACAGGGTAACGCCAATCTCGATGGGTACTTAAAGGGTCCTGGTAATTCATATCAATTCGTTTGGAAGTGTTTGAGTTTGAGACCCATCTTTTCCCTACAGTCGTTCCCAGGCTGCCACATGTTAAGATTTAGCCCGTAGTGTAGCGAACAGAAGGGATCTGGTTTCACGTGCTTGGTTTAGGGAGTTAATCCGATTCCCAGAGGTACAAGGCCACAGAGGGCCTTGAAATTTCGGCGGAAAGATGATGATGCAGCTGCTAGAGATGCTGACATCTACTGACTGGAGCCTCTTTAAAGGCAGAACGAAACTCTTAGCTCAGCCTCCAGTAATTCTATTTGGCAAGTGAATGAATGACCCATTTGAAGGTGATCATGCTATATTTATCTATATTTCATTTTTTAAAAAATGGGATCTCCACATTGCCATGTGAAATTGCCAAAGAGTAATCAGTTTAGTTTTGTCACATCGTTTTGCTTTGAAACTGCACCGCCGGCCTCATTCTTTTTTCATCTCTCTGGGTCTGGGCGCCATTTTCTAGGCCGCCTTTGGCCATTCCCGCGGTACTCCGCGTCCGTCGTGGGGTCAACGAAGTGACGGCCATCGCCATGGCCGTGGCGTGGTTCAGAGGCTGCATCCTCTTGGTGCTGAGCGCTGCCTTGAAAACCAAGGACACCAGGTGACGGCCGCGAAGAACGGTTGATGTTTTTGACGGCCCCAAAAAGATGTCGAAAAAATTAAGCCTCCATTTTTGAAAACATATTGGTGAATCAATGTAAAAAAAAAATGTCTATCTTTTTGGAGGTTACCATAAGTCCACTGCACTGCAGCTGGATTTTTTGTCTGCTTCTTTTGTACGCCAAGATAGGGCGGATTCACCTGGAAGTGGACCTCTAAACGGATGACTTCGATGATTTTCTGCTGGACAAATGGGGAACATAAACAGAACTTCCACCTTTTTGGCCATGATTTCAGTGCAAAGATGTGCAGTGTTCTGTTTGGATCTTGTAGCGGAACCAGGATCGCATGCAGGTGGTTGTATCATGCCATATCCCAGAGTTTTTGTTTTTTTCACCTGCCAGGGGCGATTGCAAGATCTTTGCCATGTGGGACTATCATCCGAACAAGGTGCGGAGTGCGGAGTGATGCGGAGTGCGGAGAGCTGGTTGCTTGTCCGGTCCTCCGAAAAAAGAAACACAACTGGTTTTGGTCTAGTCATCCCAGAGTCATCCTCCCACCATACGTACAGTATACATTGATATATCGTCACCTAGCACTTTTTTCCTGCTCATAGCAGTTTTCGCTTGGATTTACGCTCTTTCTGACTTTTTATGCTCACTTGACCTAGAAAACGCGCATTTGTTTCTTGATGGACGGGTATTTACGCTTTTTTCCCGGGTATTTACGCTTATTTCCCGGGAAACTACGCTCATTTTGGCTTCAAAATGCACAAAGCGCAAAAATGCCAAAAGTGGTGCAATTACGCTCATGTGGCGAAAAAGAGCTCAGAAAGCAGAAATCTCTCAAATGAGCATTTATTTGTGTTTTTTCGAGGATACAGGTATATATACTGTATAGAATGTATGCAAAATATAAACATATATATTTATATATTATATTTATATATTATATTTGTATATGATACAAGTATGTTGACAATAGATGTGCCTAAAACCAGTTTCGACATGGCTTGATCATGGCCTTTTTTTCGAGATCGTGGCTTTGGAGGTTCCGTTCTTCATCCAGAAGGACCTGGAGTCATGGGACAAACACTCTCATGGTCGTTGTGGTAGCCCCGTACCTGTGGTCGCTGAGAGTTGGTGGGTTGGTTGTCCTTGAAGACTTGGGGGCTGGCTTTTTTTCGAAAAAGGGGGGATTCTTAAGATCCGGGCACCCAAAGCATCAACAAATCCTTTTGCCATACCTAAAGATGACGGGCCCCCCCCATTCTTGAGATATTAATATACCATCTGGTTATTTAACATAGCCATGGAAAATCCCTTATAAATGGAGGTTTCTAGCTGGGAAAATCATCTATAAATGGGCCATTTTCCATGGCTATGTTAAATAACCAGATGGTACCACCAAACGAAAATGGAATACCCAAATGACCCACAACCAACTTCACCCAAGAGGGTCCCTAGAGGCACCCCCCATGTGAAAAATTTGGTGGTCCAATCCCCGTTGAAGGTTACAGGCTGCCATGTTTGATGTGTTTCAATCCCTTTTTTTTTGGTAAAATCCTATGTTTGTTGCTGTTGAAAAAGCCCTGTTGGTTGAAGTTTACCCTCTGGTAAACTAACAGTTTGCTATTGAAAATAGCCATTTATCATTTGTAGTTGATTTGCCCATTAAAAATCGTGTTTTTTCCATAGTTTTTTTGTATGTTTACCAGAGGGTAAGGCCAATCTTTTGATGGTAGACCTCCGGTGTGAGGTGCTGATCAACAACACCAACATCAAGGACTACATCCCCGATCTGCCAGCTGAGTATTTCAGGTCAGGAATCCCAAACAAGGGCCTGGGGCCACCTTTTTGGTGGGGGAAGTCTCAAGGTGTCAGGGACAAAATGGAAGCCTTGGATTCAAAGAATCTTCAGATAACTTCATGTTTTTGCAAGCTATAGAAGCAGATTACAGCAGATTTGAGAATAAATGCAGCTTGAAGGCCTTGATGAACTTTTTCGAACGGTCCGAGAATGGGATTCAAGATTTCTTCCCATTGTGTTTCACAGATGATAGGCGCCTCATTTACGGTTGATCCCTGATTTTCTTCCTATCCGCCTCGCCTCCTGTAATTGCCAAGTTCACTAGTGAAGAGTGAAGAGAAAAGACTAAAAAATAATGTACATCAAAATCCCAGATCATCCATGTTTGAGATGATCATAAAATCGATACAACATATATCTAAAGAAGAACACACAACAAAAAAAACATAGATCATGATCAATATTTGCATAACTGATCATACCTGTTAACATCTCTTGATGATACTTGGAACATGTTATACCTATAACTACAGTATCCATGGGGTGAACCCATCGGCTTTTTTAAGGCTCCCGGATCACGGAGCACGCTCAGATGTGATTCGATATGCCTTGATCTATCACCACGGCGGTGCGGGGCTTTATGGGGTTTAGGGTTCACAAATGCTGAATCTGGTTGGTGGTTTGGAACATGATTTTTATATATTTTTATGACTTTCCATATATTGGGAATGTCATCATCCCAACTGACGAACTCCATCATTTTTCAGAGGTCAAACCACCAACCAGTGAATTGAAGCAGTCAAAATGTGGTTCGGATTCTACCCTGAAATTCAGCATAGCTATGAACATTTACCATAGCTATGGAACATGGTTATGAATAAATCGGAAGGTTCCCACTTAATGCTTGAATTACCATTTTCCCTGTGGCTATTTAACATAGCTATGGAAAATGGCCCATTTACAGATGATTTTCCCAGCTATAAACCTCCATTTATAATGGATTTTCCATAGCTATGTTCAATAACCAGATGGTATGAGTTAACGATGAAATGTGATAGTGAAATCGATTTCATGTATGGATTGATTTCAGGGAAACTCTGCGGTTGAAACCATGAGTATTCAATCATGTTTTGGGTGGGTCCTGAAGATTGTCCCATCTTCGAATTCTGGGACGTTGTTACTGCGGTTTTTCAATTGGCGAACATGCTACGGACATCATTGACCTGAGAATTCCTGGGATGTATCAGAAGTGGAGTGTCAAGTGATTGGGTAAGAGTGGATGTTGTCAATGATGGTTAATAATGGTTTTAACACATGATTATTGTGGTTGATGATGGTTGGTGTGAAGATAACACTTTGATGATGGTGATGATGATGATGATGATGCTGCTGGTGGTGGTGGTGGTGGTTTGATGATTTTATTTGGTTTTATCTGACTTTATCTGATTTTATGATATCACATTTCATGCATTGATGATGAGAATTAGTCATGATAGGTGTAGTTGACTGTTAATAAATACATGATATACACTGTTGGCTTTATTCATACCAACAGTGCTGGTTAGGGATGGTTAAGGTAATGATTATGAACAATATAGGTTGATGGTTATGTTTTGATGACATGTTCATTAACATTAGCGATGGTTATATGTTATGACATGCCAGGTGTTAACAGCCGGCTTTTTTGCGGCGTTCTATTTATTTTATTTGCAGGTATCTACATGGATACAGACATTCTGATCTTGAAGGATCTCAATGAGGTTCTGGTGACTTGGCGACGTCCGACAGTGAAATAGTATGTTTCTAGACATGGACACGAATGGATTGATAACTACAACATAGCACGTAGGTACCTCTTACTGTAATATTTGTATATTATATACCCATAGGATCCATGTATGTTATATATGGTAACATTTACCATCAATATACCCCAAATGTTAGCATATATACCATACATGGATCCTATGGGATATACACACTATTTCTAAACACTAGACTGAGTTGGAAATGGTGGGACTTCGTATAACTGTATAACCATCAAAACTCATGATACTGGCCAATAAACCTGAGCCTTAAATTTGGCTCAAATGCAAAGTCTTTGATGAAATGCTGGGTCCACCCCGGTAGTGTTTCCGTTTAAGGCTCAGAAAGCAGCATCAGGCATACAACACGAGCTGGTTTGGGCCACAGATTGAAGCCCTGAAACCATCCCATGTTGCGCGACACTCAAGGGCTTCACGCACAATAGTCAACATTGTTTAGCCCTTTTTTCAGTTTCCATTCCTTTTTTTTCGTTTGAGAATCTATACCCAATCTTGGCTTCCATTCCCTTGTTTCGTTTGATCATAGGTTCCCGATCTTTACACTGCGCGGGGTTCGAAAAATCCCCAGGACAAAGTCACAGTGGGAGACTACGACCTGATTTCCTATGCGCGGAACAAGAACTGCAAAGCCTTCAGTAGCAACTTCTTGGCAGGGCGAAAGTGCCTCGACTGATGAGAAGAATGATGGCAATATGATTAGGAATGATGGTTAGTAACGATTAGTTTTTGATATTGGTTGATGATGATGCTGATGATGATGCTGATAATGATGATGATGAGGATGAGGATGAGGAGGAGGAGGAGGATAAGGAGGAGGAGGAGGACATGTTGATGATTATTACGTATAAGAATTTGATAATGAGTTGATGATTGTTACTACTACCAGCTTTATTTGATTATAGTACTACTGAATTTCATTGAATACGTTATATACTTATTATGTTGGTAATTTTATCAGGAATGATATTCTTATTGTTTTTTGTCATCTTAATGATGTGGGTGTGTATATCAGAATGATGGTCAGTGGAGGAACCGCCCCAAAAACTCGTAGCTTTGGTTTGAGAAATACACCTAAATTGTTCTAAATGATTTACCTATAGCTAACGAGGGAATCAGCCATTTTATGTTATTTTAGAGAGTCATGCGTCATCTCCAAGGAATCTCATCTTATTGATGTTTTTTCTAACCTCACCAGCGCTCCAGTTTTATGTTTGATTAAAAATCAATCCCAGCTCAAACAGGGTTTGGGCCCAAAATTGGATGAATCGCATTGAATCGCTGTATATACAGTATACATCACTATACTAAGATATACTAATTAAGTAATGCTTAAATTACATAAGTATCTCATAGATGAAGTTGAATGGTTTAACTTGACCTGTATCACCCACATGACCTGCATCTTCCAGGCTTTCCTTTCCACTCAAACTGGATGATCCCGAAGGTTCCAATGCATATTGTACCTTGCACCTATAGAGGGTTGTCCCACTAAGCCCTAAAAAATGGGATGATCATCCCAATTGATGAGCTTTTTTGTTCTATATGTGCATTCAAAGCCCCAAAAAATCAGTTCGTAACTGGTTTGAAACTACACCAAGCAGATATAGTACCGGTTTGTTGAAACAACCCTTCAGAAACCGCTTGAAAGAAAATCAGGAAAAGCCACTTCATGAAGGCTGTCTGGGAGGCGCAGAAAGAAGCTCTGCGGTCACACTGCGAAGATGTGAGCCCGGACAACCACGTGTGCTGCCCAAATGATCCTAAGAAGAGGTGCGAAATCGGCACTGGGATGGCCCGTTTTGCTGGGCACTTTTTCTTTGGGATGATGTGGGATGAACAGCCATGGTGCCCCACATTCTTCCGACCCATTGCTGCTGGAAAAACGAATTTAAAACCTGGCAATTGTTGAGCCTTAAAGCCAGTCAGCGAAAGTGCCCCATCGCACCATCCATCCCTATGATCGGCACCATGGTAACTATGGAAATTTTATCCATCGTTTTATCATGTCTAATCCTCAAAACGACACTTATATAACTTCCTCACGACCTCACTGCGACATCCACTCCACTCTACCCAGAATTCACCGTTTCCCCCGAATCGTTTTTAACATCGTCGTTTCCCACGAAGCGTGGCCACTGCGTGGCCACTGTTGGACGCCCCAGGTGTCACGTGCACTGAGGCGGTGCCGGAGAGATGGTTTCCCACCCCGTCTTCGATCGCCTGGCTCCGGAGATGAAGAGCTTCTGCTTCGCCGAGGAGGACGGCGAAGGGGTCGGCTACCGGTTGACCCTCCGTTGAACCGTAAAAAGGGTGGGTTGACCCCGTGAAAACCCATAGTTGTAGTACTTTTTGCATACTTGTACCATTTGGGTATTTGGAGTATACCTGTTTGGTGCCTCAGATAATCTGCAACAGAATGAATGGTGTTCTTTTGCAAGAGTTCAATGGTGAAGAATGGTCGTTTCATCATGAAATTTGGTGACTTCACAAAGACAATGATGGTATCGGAATACATATATATATATATAATGATGTATAATAGGGATATGATGGGATATCATGAGAAATAGTCAACAGTTTTTAAGTAAGTGGTGGTACCAATGCACAGTAGCAAACCATCACTTTTTGGGGCTTACCGCCCATATTCAATGCACCATGGTTTGTTAATCCGGGGCTGACATTAAGTGGTACATTGATACAATGAGTAGTATCTGGCACACATCGAGGAAATCAATGATTAGTCTTTCAGTTATTGTTCCTTACATTAGATCGGATAGTATATATGAACCATATGCATTAGTAACCAGCAATAGATATTATTATTATTATTATCATTTTTATTATGATTATCATTATTATTATTATTACTATTTTTATTATTATTATCATCATCATTATTATTTTTTTACTATTATTATATATTAGCCATTAGTAACCACCATTAGTAACCAGCAAAACTCGCAAACCATTGATCTAACTGTCGCCAGGATGGCGAATCCTTCGCACCTGAAGGCGATTTTTTGCGGGGCGGGGATTCAGGGATTCAGGGAAGCATCCCCCAAAAAAAACACACAATGGTTAATAGTGGTTGAAACCATAGGAAAACCATAGGAAAACCATAGGAAAATGGTGGTTTAATGGGATTTAATGGGATATTAATGGAAACTACCCTCTGGTAATTTAACATAGCTATTGAAAATGACCATGTTTTAATGGGAAAATCAACTATGTCTATGGTCATTTTCAATAGCAAACTGTTAAATTACCAGAGGGTACACGTTTGAGCTTGAGGAAATGTGGAAAAAATACCCAAATAAAATGGAAACTGGATTGTTTTTTTTGTGAATTTCGAAAACACAACTGGTTGTTTGCACTTTTGACATCTTATTTGTCTTAACAAGCCAACATGGCCATGGAAAATCCTCAGGAAAAAAATGACGATTATCCCATTTAAATGGCTATGTGGCCATGTCTAAGGTTTCTTGTGTGTGGATTGGGTCTGGGTCAAATTATGATCATGGAAAGGACCAAGTTTGGTCATGGTGGGCAGTGAGGAATAAAACAACCCTTTTTGAGATGTATAGTGTTGTTTTTATAAATCAAGACCTAGACCCCTCCGTGTGTACTAATAAAACTGGGGGTGTTTGACTCATAGTTTTTAGGATTTGTTACAGTAAACAATTTAATAGGGCTAGTGTCTAGGTATTTGGTTAGCTATCTCAAACACTGTTTGACCATCCCTGCTTGATCGGGTTGAGTTGAATCATCTTGAAACCACCAACCTGTTGTCTATGGTTTGATCCTGTTTGCATCGGAATCCCTCACATATCATATACATCAAAAATAGAATAGACTGATCAATTTCAAAAATCCACAGATTGAACAAAACAACATGTCAAGAATCCACTTAAATCCACAAAGAACCCACTGCTGTTTTCATGTTTTTTTTTTTTAAGATCCAGACATCCGATGAGAGATCCGATCGTGGGATCCCAAGGCATGGGAACAGTCCTCTTCACCAAGCGAAAGTTGGCGGATGCCTTGCCAAATTCTTCAAATCTGTGATAGACCAAGGAGCCCGTGGTTTTCTTTTCAGATACGGAAGACAGTGACTATGGTGATATTAAATGGTGATGCTTGAATTCGTGGGATCAAACATTTTTTCAGGCCAATCTTCACTAGATAAGGAACATGGTAGCAGAGCAGAGTGAGGATGTGATTGATATCATTTTTGGTGTTTTGGGGGATGGGTCAAGGTGTTTTGGTGAAGATCGCTTTCCGTGTGAAAGCAGGGCTTTATTAGGCAGTGCGGTTGAAGCAATAGGAACATGACAGCGGATGTCGAGCCAGCAAGAATGAAGGAGTTGACCAAAAATGTGGTGTCAACGTTTCAGCCTAGAAAAATGTGGGTTTAAGCAAGAATGCGGAGTTGAGCCAGCAAAAATGAAGGAGTTGATCAACAAGAGCTAGGGATAACCACCGATATTGTGAACAATCACCAACAAACAAATCAAACATGCGGATATTCGACAACAAAACACGTGGCATTCAGATATCAAACACGCCGTTAAATAGGCCAGGAGCTGTGGGATGATATGGGCATGGAGACCCCACACAAAATTGGAGCTATGTCAGCTCCGCAGTTGATCCTCCAGCAACACCAGTTAGCAGGGATCTAAAGAATCTAAATCCAAGGAAAAATCTAGGAGTGTTCTTTGGGGCAATGTGGCTATTTGATGCTATTTGCATCCCATAGGAATCCTCTGAATACATCATTTCTTTTGAGTGGGAGCTGCTGGAAGTTGCCATCAAATCACCGGAAGCAATTGTAGATGTTCAAATCTATTGGTTGGTTGGACCAATCCCCCTGAAAAATATATATGAGTGAAAGTCAGTTGGGATGATGACAATCCCAACCAGATGGAAAGTCATAAAATTATATAAAATTCATGTTCCAAACCACAGAGGTACCCCATTTTCAGATACCCTCTGGTTATTTAACATAGCCAGGGAAAATGGCAATTTATAGTGAGTTTTCACATTAAAACTTGTGATTTTCCATGGCTATGTTAGTCATAACCAGATGGTAAGCCCAACTTGATGAGGTTTGGGTAAGTGGCACTCAGTGCATCACATGGATTTGGTGATTTGGTCCATGATGGAAGCTCGGCACTCATCGGCATCCCGCGAGAACCCATTGGATCGCTTGGCATATCATCTCTTCAATGCTCAAGGCTTTCAGAGGCCGGGGAAACTCTGGCAAGGCCGATGCCGATCCACGTGGATTGTGGCCTTTTCCATGCGCTCAACGAGCCAAGTTGTACAACTTGAGTAGTTGCCATTCACTGATGATTCACTGTGCCCTAAGTGACTCATCGGTGGATTTAAAACATCTGAACTTTAACCTCTAAAAAATATCATCAACAGCTGGCCGCTGTTTGCCATCGCCCTAGCAGAGAAAGTAGTATTAAGTAGTCTTCGAGGCCCAAGCATGTGCAGGGTCCAACTGGGGATAAGTCGTCCACCTGCTATGACAACTTGACTGCAGGGAGTATGATGGCAGCGCTATCTTTGATCCTTCTTTGTGGGAGCACTTTTCAGGAAGAGCGGCTTGGTGTGGTGCTGGAATGATCTGGACTACCTTTTTCCAAGAAAACGTGGCATAAACTGGGAAGAATCACCTAGAACTTTTAGGGATCGGCGAAAATGATCGGGCAACCAATCGACCACAGTTGAGCCACTGAGAATCAATGTCCGGTGATAGGAACGACGACAATTCGAACGGGATTCCTAGGTGGTATGGGAAGCATGTCCACTGGCCAAACGATCGAAAGGTCACTTAAGTAGCTCCAATCGTCGGGGCACAAATCATCTTTTCACTTCCAAGGTTGCTTTGCCAAAACGTTGCAAAAAAGCGTCGCAAAAAAGACGCCAACAGGATCCAAATTTGGGATCTTTTTCATAGTTGCTGTGCCTCTAACATTCGCCGAGTCGGGTTTCCTCTGACCAGCGACCATGAGCCAGCCGAATATAGAAGTATTTCTCTGAAATTCTTGGGAAATAAATCATCCAAATCCATGGCTGAGTCATCACCGAATCGCGTTTAAAATAGTATCCCATTATAGGGAATATACAACCCATTTTCACCCATTTTCAGAGACACCCAAATAAACTTAGTTACATCCGAATCGCGATTATATCCCATCATATCCAAATATATCCCTGATATTCCTATAATGTTGGTTATGATGCATATTATCACCATTAGATACCCATGAAATCAAATTATAAATCACAATAAACTAGCGTGAAAATACCATATGAATCCCATAAGATCAATCATTATAACGACCTCACTGCGACCTCGCTATAATCATAGTTAGTAAGGGGAATCGTCCCAAAATGGCCTTAATTCAGGGTAGTGAAATATTATAATTTACCTTGATATATCATGATATATCTATATAATATATACCATCTGGTTATGACTAACATAGCCATGGAAAGATCCACCATGCTATTAAGTTCGGTAAACCATCTATTTCTATGGGCCATGTTGGCAAATCACATCAAATCACCATGCAAATCACAACTATCTTCGAGGTTTGGGCAACATCACTGTGCCTCACATGCCAGCAGATGATGGCCCCGCCACGTGCCACCTGGGGGAATAAAGCCATGTCGCTTGAGGCTGAGAAGATCAAGTTGTTGCGGGGCAACATGGTTGGTTTCTATCTTGCTTCACCACCGAAAATGGTGTCATTATTACAATATGTTCACGGTTACATAACCGGATAGAACTGTAGCAACTGTGTTTTTCGGATGATGAATTATTTTGCCGATGTCATAACTTTTCAGAGGGGTTCATCCCCAGCATTTTTCCTTGGGTTGATAGTGCACATGCCCATGTTTGAGCCATACCCAGATACCATGTGAAGCCACCAGATTTGCAGGTTTTGTGATAACTTTTGATGATAGGCCCTTCCCAATGCCCCCCAAAACGGGGGTACCATATCTGTGACCAACAGATGTTGGGTCACTTCAATTATCTGAAACCATCCTTTTTTGGCAGATAACAGTTTCGAGGCATCCCATATCCCCATGCTTACTAAATTACTCATACCCACAGCAGGTGTGCTACCCTTTGTAGTCCTGATGATGGTCGTAGTCTATGATAATCCCAACCAACATTAACCATCATTGTTTTTGGATGTGTTTGGCATTTATCAATAGCTGGTTGGTGGTTTCAAACATGCTTTATTTTCCACAATATATGGGATAATCCTTCCCATTGACTAATAGTTTTCAAGATGGTTAAAACCACCAACCAGAATAGGTGTTTGACTCATAGCCAGATAACAATGATAACGGTAATAATCCCATTATATCCCATGATTGTATAATGATAGGGATGATAGTGATAATAATGATCATGATAGTAATGATGATCTTAAATGGGGGTACCCCTAAATCATCCATTTTTGACTCGTACCCATTTGATGATTTTCTGTTTCCCTCAGGTACTGCGCGTCGGAGGGTGAAATGTGCCGCTGCAGTGGCAGGGTCTACTTCGGCCGCAAATTTGACAACGATCAGGAACCAACAGCCGGGGGGGGATCATAAATGACTCCACCAGGCAGGTTTCTTGAGGATGCAACAAAATCAGGATTTTGGGAATGTTAATGTACATAAAAAAATACTTTACTTCGTGTGATCCCCACCATGACATTTATACATTTTCTTACTGGCAAATTTTCTGGCATTCTATCTGACATATCTTTTGGCATTCTATCTGGCATATCTTCTGGCATATCTTCTGGCATTCTATCTGGCAAATCTTCTGGCATATCTTCTGGCATTCTATCTGACATTGCATCTGGCATATTTTCTGGCATTCTATCTGGCATATCTTCTGGCATATATTATGTCATATCTTCTGGCATTGTATCTGGCATTCTATCTAGCATATCTTCCGGCATATGTTCTGGCATATCTTCTGGCATTCTATCTGGTATATCTTCTGGCATTCTATCTGGCATATCTTCTGGCATATTATCTGGCAAATCTTCTGGCATTCTATCTTCTAACTTTCTTCTGCACATTCTTTGTCCCATATCTTCCTACATGAGGTCCGGCAGGGAACACTTGGCGTGGATACTCGCGGTTGAGGTCCGGCAGGGAACACTGGGCGTGGCTGGTCGTGGTTGAGGTCCGGCAGGGAACACTGGGCGTGGCTGGTCGTGGTTGAGGTCCGGCAGGGAACACTGGGCGTGGATGGTCGTGGTTGAGGTCCGGCAGAGAACACTGTGGATCGCGGGTCGCAGTTGGACGAGGACGACGAGGACGACGAGGACGACGAGGACGACAAGGACGACAAAGATGACAAGGAGGACGAGGAGGACGAGGAGGAGAGGAGGAGAGGAGGAGGAGGAGGAGGACGAGGCAGGAGGAGGCAACTGACATAAAATCTAACAACCCTCACCTGGCAGGTGGGGAAAAAAAACAACCAAGTTATTGGGATGTAGATGATGTAGGGTTGAGATAAACTTGAGATAACACTAACAATAAAAAAGGGAAATGTCCGTCATCAAGATATTTATAGCTTAAAGAAAGTGTCAGATAGTCCCATGAGGGCCAGATTTGGAGAGTGCCATTCCCACGTAAAAGCTGGATGTTTGGGGCCCTGAGTAGCATTTGTTGGAGAGCTCTGCCCGAAACCAGGCGTGGTTCATTGGATAAAAGATATGGGAAAACCAATGTAGATGTATATGGATTATGATTTGATTACATTGATTATTTTATATGGTTAATTATATGGATTATTATAGGACAACCAATTACATGAATTGTTATAGGAGATAGCACATGACATTGCACAATTCGTTGGTTTCGTTCGGTCGCAAGTTTAGGACTGCCTGCAGGGCAATCCAGCAGTGTGGGAAAACATTGAGAGGATACTCCATGACTCCCATGTCCCCCGAATTAGGTCCCCATGATAGTCATCCCCATTTTGTGTTGGAGTATGTTCCATCGACCTTCGATGAAATCTATACCGTATATACAGGAAACATGTATAGACATATGACTGGAATATGACTGGAATAGATGAACAATAGTGGATCATGTGGGGTTTCATCCAATTTCATAAACCTACCATTCGGGGAATGGTTTATACAGGGTCGTGCCCTCCCAGTTATAAGTTGGTTTTTAAACCCCATTAACTATACGTATATATATATATACACATACACTGGTAGGACAAAAGTTGCGCTTGTTGAGCTGCCGACAGTGAACATGTGTGAGTTCTTCTTCTGAACACCCTTTCCCCTTAGAATCCTAGCATGGAGCTGTGTCGTACCCCGGTCGCATTTCCACCCTCCAAGTGGGTTTAAATCTTATAGATTTAAAAGAGGGTGATAATTGACCGTCCCACACCTGCCACACGAAATGGACTTGGAAATGTGATCCGCGGGTGACCGAGATGGACGTTTCCTAACGCTTGCAAGAAGCATAAACTTTGTTCCTCCTGAAGTATGTGCACACATATCTACCATAAACCATGTATATATATATATATATTATATATATATATTATTATAAAGCAACTTAGCTAACTATGGGTCACCAGCTTGTGATTTCTCAGAATTTCTGGTGATTGGGGATAGACAGCCTCGCTAGCAACAGAGGACGGCGATCGCTTGACCCTGTCCGAGATGACCCTTGCGCAGCATCGCAGCAAGATGATCAACGGTGACGTTGCCGGGGAACCCAGGGGAACCCGGCGATCGGTGGTACTTGGAGGATCCATCCCAACGGTGAATATGGTGAATGTCACTATAGTTGTAACATTGGTAAACAGATGGTTTTTGTGGGGTTATAAGTTATATCCATTATAACTATAGTGACATATGATTAATGCTTGGGGTTATCATAGTTATAAGCCATTTAGAAATGAGATACCCGGCCTGGTAAACGTTAACAAAAAACTATGGGAAAAACACCATGCTATCAATGGGAAAACTCACTATTTCTATGGCAATGTTCAAAGGATTTTTGTATGTTTACCAGAGGGTAACCCCACAGAAACCCTGTTTACCAATGATTTAAACCTTTTTTCATGGAAGCTTTGGTCCGTTGAGTTGGATAAAAAACTAGCTTAAACATGGCTATTTGTCACAGATACTGCGGTATGACTACGTTAGATTACCAGAGGGTATATCTGGGTAAATTATAACGACCTCACTACGACCTCACTGGAAATCATGGTTAGTAAGGGGAATCATCCCCAAATGGCCTTAATTCAGATTAGTGAATTATTATAATTTGCCCAGGTATATACAATAATGATGTGATATGAGTATAGGTGTACTTGTGTATATGCACGGTTGATTTGATACGTCTCAGTTCATATCGTGGTGTTCCCATGGCAACTGTGAGATGTTGGGATACAGTTGCTGTGGTCACTGGAGGGATGGTGGTCATGAATCTTGCTGTGACTGGTTGGCTGGTTGGTCACAAAAGATGTACTGGTTGGTGGTTGACCTACCGCTATATATGGAAATATATGGATCTGTTTATTCCCAATATATAGAAAATAAAATATATGTACTTCAATGGATTGGTTTTGTTGGGAAAATTTACTGGTTTAAGCCCCATATTTCATGGGAAAATCTATGGTTTCCGGTTCAGATTTTCCCAACTAAACCAATCCAAAAAGATGTACTGTTCAATCCTGACTGGGGGGATGATCTGAAAAAGGATTCACTTAAATATTCACATCAATTTCAGGCGTCTGCTACCGGTTCCGGATTTATATATATATATATATCATATTAGAATAAAAATCTGAAGTTGGTTTCAACCCCCATGGGGGCATCACGATATTCACATCATTGCCTCACAACTAGCACAGCAACTTCCGAGGCTTGCACGACCGGGAACTTCGAGTCGGATCCACAGATCAACCGGCCCAAGCAATGTTTGTGTCAGGCGCGCGGTCAAGGGCTGACGGAAAGTGGGGCCCGGGGATTCAGTCGGTCATTTGCTATCCAGTGGTTAGGAGGGAGCGATTTGGAGCTAAGGGTATTCATATTCCCTATTAAATATGATTAAATGGGGAGCTTTGGGGAGCTACTTCACGAGTTTCCCAAGCACATACTAGTTCAGTCGGTCAGTGGGAAACATCGAAACAGTCGTGGATTTGGTCTGGAGATGGAGATCCAGAAAAAAACGCTGGGTCCCTAAAACTCCTGCGATTTATAATGATTTCCCGACTATGGTGGCCATGGGTATTGCTCAACTAATCCTGTGTTTTTGGTGATAAGATGATGCCTTTCAATTTATTGGTGATATTATACATCATCATACATGAATGTCCCACGAATTATCTCATAATTACAAAGTGCCCTAACTCCCATTTAGATGAAAACACAAATACGTGTTGGTGGTTTGGAACCATGGAATTTGGATTGACTTTCCATTTGGTTGGGAATACTAAATCATCCCAACTGACTTTCACTCATATATTTTTCTGGGGGATTGGTCCACCACCAAGCAGTTGGGATTAGAGGTACCCCTTTTTCAGATACCCTCTGGTTATTTAACATAGCCATGGAAAATTACCATTTATAGTGAATTGTCCCATTAAAAAATGGTGATTTTCCAGAGGGGTAGCTTGAAACCACCAACCAGATATCCTGTGACATATGTGCTAAAGCCACTGTCTCAACCATCCCCCGGATTTATGAAATTTCTTGCGGGAAACCCCCAGCATTTGGAATGATGTAAGATCCCGATCCCCCAGTAGAATGGGATGGTTTATGGCAGATTTACCCATAAATCATCATCAATCCACATAACATGGACTATCCGAACCCATAAACAATCATAAATCATAGACATATATCATAGATGTGACATTACCCCCTGGTAAATTGACATAGACCCTGAAAATCACCAATTTTTAATGGAAACGAGTCTTCCAACCCCGACAACTGCCAGGGTCTATGTTAATTTACCAGAGGGTAAATCATTATAGACATAATCATCATAGACCTTAAAACATCATAAATCCATGAAGCCTCAAGGATTCCACCTCCAGGCTTTGAATGGACAAGTCCCCAAGAGTCCTGCGGATGATGGACCTGCCACGATCTGTGCCAATGAGGGAGAGATGCCGCTTGGATCGCCCTGTCGCGTGAAGTGATGGATATTTTTTGAGTGGATCAAACTGATCAAACTGGGCAGTTTACTTAGGGTTCCAGGTGTGTAAAAAACATATTGATCTATATTGATCTATTCATTATGAATGTAATATATATATATACAATTATTTATTTTATTACAGTATATTATATAATTTGTATATTTTTCATAATTATATATACACGTGTTGATTGCAAATGAATATACCGTACCTACATGTTTCCCAAAATCGCTGACATGTAGTTGAATATACCAGTACACAGGATGAATGCTATTGGATTTGGTTTTGGGAAATAACGGACCCTTGGTTTATTTGAATATGAGAGGTACCATTTCTAGTAGGGTACTATCATACAACCAGGAAAAATCCGGAAATTTGAAGACTGCCATGTGGTTCCCAGATCGATGTAAAATGGGGTTTGTCACTGCATACTAAAACAAGAAAATCAATGAACATCATATAATATATATATATTGTGTATAGATATGCATAGATGCATCGTGCTACTGTGGATGGCGAAAATTCTGCACCGGTTGGTAACTATTGGTAACTATGAAACACATGTTCATGGGATTATTTCTTCCACAGTAATTAATTAGTATAGCTGGTTGGTGGTTTGGAACATTTTTTATTTTTCCATATATTGGGAATGTCATCATCCCAACTGACGAACTCCATCATTTTTCAGAGGGGTAGGTATACCACCAACCAGATAGTCTAGTAGAAAAAAATAGGAAAGCACTCCAGTTACTTACTTTGCCAAGAGATCGTTGTTTTTCACAACGCATCCCATGGTTCCAGGCGTTTATCCCATGGGCCCAGGTGTGAATGTCAAGGGAAGGCCTATTACGGACGAAAACTTCCTGTGAATGGCAAGGCCGGTGGTATGATCCAATCGGGTGGCGGCAAGCCATCAGAAATGGGGCTGTAGCTGATGGTATAGCTTTCGCTATGGGAAAAATTGGAAAATGGATGAAACTTGGAAAATTGGAAAATTTTGAGTTCAATGTTTTGCCCTTAAAATGGTGGTTTGAAAAATAGCTATGTGAAAAAACACCAGAGTGTAAAACGAAGCATTTTAGTGGGATGTGGGGAATTAAATGGAGATAGGTTCAAACACTATTTTCTATTGGGTTTTGTCCAAAAGTTGTGGCAGCAAACTCCAAGTCATGGCAGTTTCCCCAATTTTCAGATAGACCCCATGGGATGGGTTGAAACCACCAGGGGATTATGAATCTCTTGGTGATATGATCCTTACTAATCCTGGCTAATCCTGATATATCAAAGCTCCATTTCGGTTTGTTGCCAAAATTGGGTACACCAAAATCTAGTGCTTGAAACGCTCTTTTTTACGACAAAATCATCTCTTTAAACGACTTTCAACATATTTAAAACATCATTTGCCATCATTTGAATGGTCCTGCATTGGCGAATATACCTCATTTTATGACACACCTTGGGCGTCCCAACTGCCAGTGGTTCAGCCAGTTCCAGGAGCCACTGAATCTGGCGCAGACTGTGACTTCCGTCTACCGTGCCAAGATGGCACCTTGGCTCCAAATGTCTTGCCTTTATATAAGTTTATGTGTATCCTTATGTACACTATATATACACTACAATGGATGCTCATGTAAAGTTCAGATGTATGCTCATGTATACTATATATATATATGAATATGTGAGTTACATCACAAGTATGAATTCACATATGTATTAACATACATATGCTGGTTGGTGGTTTGGATCATTTTTTATTTTTCCATATATTGGGAATAATAATCCTAACTGACTTTCATATTTTTCAGAGGGGTTGAAACCACCAACCAGTATGATATATAAATAAATAAATAAATAAATAAATATATATATATATATACTGTATATATATATATATACTGTGTATATATATATACTGTATATATATATATATAAGTCCGAAGGCAGCCAACCATCGGTCAGTTCCCCCCTTGAGGTCCGCGGACAAATCCGTTGCTCTCCTGGGGGATTTGGAGGTCCAGAGGGGTTTGTTGGATGGGTGGCCTGAAGCAACTAGAAATTGAGGATTTAACCAGCAAAAATGGTGATTTAGCATGATTTTGCTAGTAAAAATGGTGAATTTGGCCCAACAAATGATGATTTGACCAAAACACTATGTGATTGAACCTGCATGTGTTTTGATATGCAACGGATTAAACGAAAAACGAGTTCTGAAACAAATGAGGTTTTGATATGAAAAGTTTGACCTAAACAAGTCAAGCCCATGAAAAGAGAACACATGCTACCCTGAACATGGACAATTCACCACCAAATCATTGATATTGGAGCATTGACCACATCTTTTTGTTAAAACCTCCGAGGTCCATCGACCATGTAAAGTGGAGTTAGAGTCAAACATCAGGTTTTAAATAGCCAACAAGGAATGTCAAGCAATACTATAAAGAAACAGGGAAGTAAGCACAAACAAACCGGCAAATTTAGGGTACATGTGCAATAAACCAGTAAATTGTCGAGTCCCCAAAATGGATTTTGTGATGAGGAGTGCGTGTAGCCCGTCCCCCTTTTGTTTAGGTTGCCGCGATGCAGATTCCTGTGAGCATGCCGCCATTGTTGTTCCATTGTTGTTCACCGGATGCCCATCTGTAAACAAATGGAATTGCCATTTGCCAAATAAAATGGTTGGGGTTGGTGAAAACCAACCTGTAGCCGGTCCAACCCAGAGATATCCAGAGGACATACTTCCTTTGGTATCCTTCCCAGGGAGCTAGAAACCAGTTTCCCATCAGTCGCAGGCGACCCCTTGGTGGGCGTTTCCAAGCATTGCCTCTGCCAGCCACACAAGTGACGGTGACCGTCTCAGCAAGTCGTGAAGAAAAGGGGCGGTGCGAAGGAGCTGGTTCTGGTTTCGCTCGCGTTTTTCCTTGGGATTGATATGATAGAACATGGGACGGAACCACTCATGATGTGACGGCGGCATATGCTCCTTGAAGTGTCATTTCTATGGGAGTAGCAGGATTAGTTCCTTGCCCGGAGATAGATCTATGTGATTATATGTATATATATTGTGTATCATGTATATACTCAATATTACACATGTTTTTGCTATATATTTTACAATCATGATGTATGTCATACACACTATACACTAAGTATATGTATACATGTACGTAGTATAAAATATACGTATGTATTATGTATATAATATTATATATAACATAGGATTTTGAATAGTTGTATTCTATGTTGTGTTTCTATTGTTTACATTCTACATCATATGTGTTTGATTGTATTATGTTGTTTTATCTTATACGGTCATATGGTCTTATCTTTTCTTATCTAGTATTGGATTGGACTGGCTTACAGTATATGTGTTTTTTTTAATGCACTAGTATGCATGATTATGCATACACTGTTTTGCCGATTGATTGGGAAGTTTGCGACGATGGTTGGACTTGACGGAAACTCGACCGAGTAGCCCCCTTTGTTGGACCAATGGTTCAAAATTCACCCGGCAGGATGGCCGATGTTGGTTAGGTCTCCAGTTTAAAGTGGACACATATTAAACAAAAAAAAACACCCAAGCCTTGACCCATTGGGGCCACATTTCCTTACAAGATATTTCCTGGATGAAGTTCGCTGTTCCTATGCTTCGCCAATCGGATTCCATGTATGTTTGGATTTTTGTCTCAGCCTTTTTGGCCCTGTGGCTGTAGAGTAAAGGTGGTACTACTGAAACTTTGACGTGGATGATGCGATAAAAAAGCGCCGATGTCCCGATCGCAGACCAGTATCACTGGGTCTTTGGTCCCAAAAAGTTGAGTGACTTTCAAGCAAGAAAAAATGAATCAGTTGACACATGTCAAATGAAATCATCTAATCAAGATGCTTTCGAATGTTTCAAAACATCGAGTAAAAGCTTCTGAAATGCCAAGACATAGGTATGTTTATATAGAAAATTCACCTCCCAAATATCTCTGGGGTCATCCAAACCCGGACAAAACATCTCCAGATGTCGCGGATGTCGGGCAACGATGCTGTCCATGCTGACGAGATGCCGGAAGCACCGCAGACCTCCTTGCCAGCGCATCCCGGGCACTTGTGCCTTGGAGAGGAGACCGGCCAGTTCCTGAGTTTTTGGGTGATATATTTGGAGATACACTTGCATATATGAAGCAGGATGAAACACCTGCTTCCCCTTAATATCAAACACCCTCCAGAAACCATGGTTAAGTTGAGGAGGGGAGTTACACATACTCATGACTGTAGAATGAGTTTGTTGAATATGACGGGGAATTGCCTTCATTGGTATAGATTTTGGGATATTGGGATATACCTCAAGATATACCCCGCAGTTTGATTTCGGTTGGTGGATGATGGTGGATTTTTGCAGTTCCAACTGCCAGTTAAAAAATAGTCATTTTGCATCAGGGGCCGATGAGGTGTTAAACCATGGGATTCAACCATGATTGATAGATTTAAGTGTTAAGACAGGTCCATCAATATTCTTTGAACCACAAGAGTATGTATTCGAAGATTGGCTCGGGTATTGTAGTGATACATTGGAAGATCTGGGGATGGTTGCTGAACATGAGGCCAGTGACCAACAGGCATAACTGGCATGGGGACCGGCAGGGGGCAGAAATCAAGCTGTAAAACATGTCTCTTCAACTCCCAAAGGTGTTTTATGAATCGTAGCACGTCCAAAGAAGTGTGAAGGGCCAGGTATGGGCTCTGACCCACGACTGCAGACTGTGGTGGCATGTGGCAACTGCAAGACTTGATGGAGGAGTTTCCCATAGAACCAATAGCAACACGGACCCGAAGAACTGTTCATCCTTAGCAACAAAAACAACGAAGATCATCTCAGGCGAAGTGAAAAATTGGCTCATGGACTGAGCAGTGGTCCATCCTGTTTTTTTCAATGATCCACTGGGATGAGATATCCATAGCCGATGTCCTACATAAAATGTTCAGTGTTTTATTCACATGGTAAAAGCAAATCCATTATCATAGGAGCTGCGAGAAAAGCAGAACTGTTGCCAGTCAGTACCTCGATATATCCTCTGGTAATTTAACATAGCCATGGAAAAGCATCTGTTTCTAGATGATTTACCCATTTAAACATGGCCATTTTCCATGGCAAACCCTAAACTAGAGGGTAAATCCATGAATATCTTATGAATATCTTGTGATCTTATTGTTGTTCCAATATGTTCCAATAATATTATCCCTATCAAACCATATCAAAGCATCTTAAATGACCATTCCTTGGCCATATATCACAACTTCTCCATGATCTTTTTCCATCGCTGGCCAACATGGCCGATACCTCGGTGGCGGAGCGGCAGCTCCGCACCCCAGGTGGGCTGAGACTTCCAAGGCTTCAGAGCAGATCACGCAGCAGCAACTTGGCACGACAAAAATCGCTGGTTTCATGGAAAAAATCTGCTTAACATACATGGATTTTAATACTGGTACCCCCATGACTTATAGGAAACCCCCTTTTTTGGGTCAGTATGGTCAGTTCAACTATGATTTAACCATGAAAAAATGTGGTTGTTTCTCCAATGAAACAAGGAGATTGGACCATGAAAACTGATGTGGCCTTACCATCAAATATAGGGTGGTTGAAACATCAGAAATGTTGTTTTAACCAACACGAGTTGGCATTGGTTCATTATAATCAGGGGGTTTTAGGGGTGTTAGATTTTCAGGCAAATTTATAATAACCCATTCGGATATTTAGTATGGCCCAAACTGAGTGGTCCATGGAACAGGTGATGGGTTGTTCCGAAGTAATTCCCACGGATGGGCAATTTATTGAATTTAAATGAAATTAAATATTTTTGTTTGTAATAATCAGTTTTTATTTGTCTCTGTTTACCACTAAGGTTTTTTTGGTCCAGTCACTGTCAAAACTTGTGTTGGGTCAAGGTGCGGCGCCGCAACCGACACAACCACTGGACATGCCAAAAACGCTGAACATTTTGACATACCCTCTGGTAAACTAACATAGCTGTTGAAAATGGCCATAGAAATAGTGAGTTGTCCCATTAATAGCATGTTGATTTTCCATAGTTATGTATAAACGTTTACCAGAGGGTAATAAGCATTGAACATTGGAACGGCCTGAGTGATGTGTTTGGATGTCACCACCAAACCATGGAAATTGGCGAAACCGGCGCCTAATGAAAGTGGATGAAGTGTCAAGACCCAGATGTGTGTAGATACAAAGCTATGACCTTAGATCATAGCTGAACACTGGAAATGGTGGATGGCCACAAACGTTGAGGACCTTGACCCCTTTTTTTGGATGTTTGTCAGCATTGCTGGCAGCAACTAGCAGCAAATCATTGATTTTAGTACCCTTCCGGAAAGTACCCTCTGGTAAACTAACAAAAACTATGGAAAATCACATTTTTTAATGGGTAAATCCACTATAAATGGCCATTTCCAATAGCTATGTTAGTTTACCAGAGGGTAACAGTTTGCTATGCTATGGAAATCAGCCATGAACTAGTAGGTGAATCATCTGTATTTCTGAGCATTGTCCATAGCTATATAAAAACAACCAGAGGGTACCCTCTGGTAAACTAACATAGCTAGAGAAAATCACCATTTTGAATAGGTAAATCAACTATAAATGATGTATTTTCAATAGCTATGTTAAATTACCAGAGGGTATCGAATCTTGACCCTGATATAGGGTTCAACTACCTGGCCCGATGGAGATCAAGCTATTTGACCTTTGCAGCCCGGTAGACTTCCAGCTGTGATTGGGATGTTTCTTGCTGTTAACAATGCTAGGAATCTTCCTCACAAAAAGCTGGTCAAAACAAAACACTTCAAACATCATCCAGGTAGAGTTTCAAGATGTTCGTGACGGATATGGACAAACTTCATTTAGATCCATTCAGTTCAACGCGTTTTCCCATAAAAAACCCTCCATTTCAAAAGTCGAAACCCTTTTCCAACCGTATCGCCATGTTTGATTTCGCCATTGAGGGTTTTTGGCACCTGATCCGGGCCAAGGCTAGCGGAGATCCAAGAGAAGTTGGACGCGAGATTCGAGGAGATCCTAAATCGCCTGGACTCGCAAGCTGAGTTTCTGAGAGAGACTTGGCGGATCCGGTATCTCTGGTGGTATCTCTGGTGTCATCAAACATTTGCAAGCTGGAAAATCCACGATAAAACCTATAAATCGAGATTTGTAGCTGGGAGCAACATCTACAAATCCTGGATTTTGCAGCAAACCGTGTTTGATGAATTGATCGCCAAAGCTATACGGTTTAAACCACGAATGGAGAGAGTGACTAGCGGCTTGAATACGACAATGCGTACATATGTATTTCTTACCTTACAGCATATGAGCGGAGTTTATCAATGAAAAAGGGGAGATCACGCATGAAATGGTGGTACAAAAGCATACTCAACTGGTTGGTGCTTTGACAGTAGTGGCTGGAAAGAAGATGTCAATTGACTTTTTTTCTGGGGAATGGGGACACAAATGTTTGGAAGTTATTCCCATGGCAGATTCTACCAATTTGATCGTATTCCAGCAACCAAGTCCGACACTCTCTTGTCAGCACTAGCACTTGCCATGGCACGTTCAATTTCTAGCAGCTTTTCCAGGTGCTTCGGGTTTCCGTGTTGTACTCCAACATGTCAACGGGAAACCTATCCGTCTCCTGAAATAAAAGGAGAAACCATGGAACCTCTCCAATAGTTGTGTTAGTACCATGGCAATAGCAATAATTATATGTTTTCAATATTCGTATGGATACTCCTATTGCTATTAATTACAAACCTTAGATATCTTGCAGAAAAACACAGGGAGGCAGAAAATTATATCCCCTGTCCCCTATCTAACTAAAACACCCACCAAGCTACCCAGTTCTCAATATTGTATGACCTGAAGGTGAGAGGAGCCACCTGCTCCTGATCTACCCGTTTCTGACATCAATTTTTGGAATGGATCATGTCCCAACTGAAATCCTATGCCTGAGATACAACATGACTCAGCCACAAAAACGGGCTACATCTGCGTATGGATTAGCAAACATAACTTGTGGTGAATCGCTGTTCTTTTCTTTTTAAGTCTTTTTGGATGTTACTGAGTTCGCGTACACCTGATGTTGAATAACATAACCAACTTTATATGGGTGTTTCATGGTGTTTCCATAAACAATGTTAAAACAAATGGATCGTTTATTTCATGGAAAATCCACTTAAAATATGGATTTATATAGGGGAGTATAGGGGTAATTACCCCATTTCAGGTAGGAAATCTCCATCTCACCCCAGTTCTGTCACGCCAAGGAACTCATAAGGCCCCGCCCGGTTCGGAAGTCGACGAACCTCTCGAACCTGCTGATCACCTATGAGACGCCCAATGCAGAGGAGCTTTGGCCTCCTTTATGGTTTCAGCATGGTGGATTTAACGAGTGAACTTTTTTGGGATTTACTCCATGAATATCCATGATGAATTGGTGGTTTAACATGGTTTAACCATGCAACTTGGTATTGAACCATCAGATCGATAATGGATTTCACCGGAAGATAGGCCATGATTGGGTGTGTCTCATATTTCCATGGACCATGGTGACAGGGGACCATCATGATCTTTTTACATGTTGCTCCGAAGCATGCAAGATGTTTGGGGATTGAGACCTATAGCGGGCATAAACTCTAGAGCATGGGAATTGATGAATCACTTACTAGTTGTGCAGCCATGGCATGCCATGGCCACGTGATGATCCCAAGCTAATGCAGCATAGAAAAGGCACAACTTGTTGGTGTAGCTAAGGTTAGTCGCCCCAGAACAGAGCCGTATGTAGCACGTGGTCATTTATATGAACCAGCCATGTCAGCACTGTTCAAAAAACCTTCTGGTTGATTTACGTACGGGATACACGCATATATATATATGCCATATAATATATATATATATATATACATACGCGATATATATATATATATATTTGCATATATATATATTATATCCCATATGCTCCATGTATGGTATTACCTACATTTGGGTTATTTTTAGGGCAAATGTTGGTAAATATTCCATACATGGAGCATATGGGTATACAATCCAATATATGGGGGATCATGATAATCCATTCCTGGAATTCCCATTGACCAATCAATATACAAGGGAGGAAGTTGCGGGTTTTGAGCACTGCTCATGTGCTTGTGGTCATGAAACCATGGAAGACAAAACAAGTTCTATCCAGCTCCATATTCCAAACTGACCATAGTTGGATTCTTTGGTATGTCGGCGCGCATTTTTTCCTGCCAGCATTTGACGCTACCTCGAACTAGGCTCAAGAGACTGAGAACAAGAAGGCTTCGCGGAAGGAACCAGCTATGTTGATATTCTTACTGGTGCTTAGTAGGGAATGGGGGAATGGGATGATGGTTAATAGTTATGGAGTGGATCATTCCCCTATTCCCTACTAAGCACCAGTAAGTATATTGGTCGGAAAGTTGACAAATGGTTCTTTCATGTGGGTGTGTCTGCCCGAAAAACGCCATTGGCATCAGTTTGCATTGAACAACGATACTGTAATACATGAAAACAAATATGGGGTTCAATTGTTTCAGACACCCCTATGCCGAAGCAGGCTCTAAGCAGACCTCGTTGGCTACAACAAGAATGTATTGGGGAATGGACGTACACATCATATGGACACATTGTCACATCTAACTGTGGTCAGGTCAATAAGTTCGATTTTTGGTTTTAATTCCCCGAAAATTGTGAGTATCATGTTAATGTTGTTTTTAGACATGTTGTAATTGCAAAAGGTGTTTGCCACCACCTGTAGATGTTTTGTGTTTATGCTCATTTTGCCGGTGACGACTAGACTGATCATAAATTTTGGTAATATTAATTTATATTAATTAAACTATATATATATGATTATATATGTGTATAATATATCCATTGATTCTATGTGTCAAATAATCATATACTTGTTATGTTTCCGATTTAATCATAACTGTTGTGCCTGATTCGCTGAACTCCGTCTGATGCCAGGTTCGACAGGTCACCTGCGACTCCGAGAAGTCCTCGAAGCCGTCGCCCACGTTGAACCTGGCGCGCGCGGGAACCGCAGGAACGGCGACACCACGAGCCGTGCCAAAAAATCGGAGACTTTCCCTTACATCGAAAGGGACGGGAATGTTGCTTGGTATGGGAAAACAAAAAAGGTACGGTAGAGGAGATCTATATGGAGATGTAGTTTTTTGTTTTGTGACTTCGATATCATCAGAGCCATATTGCATCCTGATTTCGTTCCGTTTCATTTTGTTCCGTTTTGTTGCATGGAATGTTCATGCCGTTAGAAATTGTCAATTATCACCGTCGTCATCATCATCATCATCAGCAACACCTTTACAAACAACATTTACCATCGCAAACCCGTGGGGTGAAAATCGTATTGATTGTATAGTTTCTCTGAATGTATATGTTGTATAGTTTCTCTAGAGGCAAAGGAGGGAATGGTGTTTCTCTGTTGCTTGGAAACTTCGACGTGGTCAAACAAACAGGAATCAATTTTCAGTTGGGATTGTAACAAAATCTTTGATAACTTGGAAGCTGGCCGAACTGAATCAAAGACTTTCCATCGTTTGTCTTCACCGTGTGCAAGGGCATAATTAAAACTCCACAGAGGCCTTAAGTTGCAATTTGTGTGTGTGTGCAAACGGAAATGAACAGTCTCTCGCGTAGAGTTACAGTATGTGCGCAAGTGCATGATGAAGATTCCCCATCATGGACTTACAATATGCGCACCATGTGCACCGTGAAACGATTGAACACCCTCTGGTATCGAATTTGAAAACAGCATCAACACGTTATCACCGCTCCCGAATCCCACCCAAAGCGCAACAAAAACAAACTATACATGCTACCGCCTCCGCAGCACAGTGGAGTTTGGCAGGATTTCCTCCTTCCAAGAAGGTTTTTCCCTGCCTCAGAGTGTGACTTGTTTTCCAAAATGTATAGTACAAATAATTGTAGACCTGAATACCGCATCACATGAACGCATGCAAAGCAGTAAAACAAACGTCAATGAACGGTTTTGAGCAGTCTGCATAAACATGATCACTAGACACATATGTAATCTAATATGTAATCATGAACACCATCCGCATCATCAACATCATGTCCAGCATCATTATTATAAGCATCACCATCGTATGTTTACAGGTTTGCTTTATATTCAGTAACCTGAAGCACCAGGATTTAAACGTGATCAGCTTTAATCCTACCAACATGATCATCAGCATTGAGACAAACTGACAGCAGCATCGCCAGCAGCACCATCAACACTACTAATCATGATCATCATCACCTTCAACAGACGTAATATCATAGTCATGAAGATTATCAACACCAGGAACACGATTTCATTGTTATCATCAGCATTATCATCCACATTGTCAGCAATTTCATCAGGTTCAGCACCATCAGAATGTTTACTACTTTTCGAAAAAAACACCACATATGTGTGAACCCATGAACATTTCATGTTAATCTGATCGTTAACGACTAAGTTTTGGAAGATATATTCTTCCACCGATTTGCCAACTGAGAATCCCAGATAGAATGCCAAATAGAATGTGCGATAAAATGTCAGATGTGATATGATGCCAGATCATGCCAGAATATCGGAATGTATGCAGATAAAATTACAGAAAGATTGCCAGGCAGAATGCCAAAGAAGATGTCAGATATATGTCAGATAGAATGTTAGAACATATGTCAGATAAGATGTGAGATAGAATGTCAGAATAAATGGTAGATAGAATGCCAGCTAAAATGTCTAAATAAATGTTGGACAAAATCACAGACAACCTGTCAGATAGAATGCACGATGGACTGTTGTACATACAGCCCAGATAGAATGTCAGATAGAATTTAAGATAGAATACCAGATAATATGCAACCCTACACCAACCCTAAATGACTCGAAACAAACCGTTGTAATGCTCAGTTTTTGACTACTATTATGTTTTATTATTGTTATTAGCATTATTATTGTTATTATTTTTAAAAGTAGTAGTAGTAGTAGTAGTAGCATAATAGAATCTAATGTAATATAATATAATTTAATTTGATGTATTGTTATATTGAATATTATCTTAAACAAAGCCTGCATAAACAAACTGAGCCTAAAACGACCCAAACTAACCCTAACTAGATCTCAAGCCAGCCCTAAGTCAAGCGGCGGTAAACCCTAAACCAACCCTAGTTGAACCTTGCAAAACAACATGAAACATGAACATTCCAGCACCGAAATGTTGCAAGTACAATGCAAAAAACTCAAGACCGTTGAAATGGCAGCTTCCAGCTCTAAAGTGCTGCAAGGAAGATGGACAAAACAAGAGATCCAAAAAAGGATCCCAGGACGAACAAAAACACCTCTTCTCCTTCAACAGGTTGATGATTGATAGACGACTCTTGACAAGACGTCAAACATAGGTGTTTATTCAACAATAGATCTGTGCAAACAATTTAGCCAAAGGTGCAATTGTGCACTTTAGTCATAGGTCATTCCCTGTTCGCAGTTTCTGTCTACAGTCAAGGACCGAAAAGGGTTCATTGTTTCCAAGGAACCAACATCTTGACGAGAAACCATATGAGAAACCTTGACCATCGCTCTAATAAGGGCAATCCACATTTTACCTCACTTCTCTCACAAACCAAATTTTGTCGGTTAAGCCCCACGTGTCTTTTTGGGTCCAATTTAATGTTTCTGTTGAATCTATCTTCTTTTCCTTTTGGATGTGGGGTTTTCTTAAAATAGGGGTTTTCCCAAAACCATAGGTTTCAATCCTAAATCGGTCTAAATTTGGATGATTTTTGGGGTACATGACTTAGGAAACCTCCAAACATGTTCTGCGCTGCGAGCCCGTCCGTTGTTTTTCACCATCCAACTATTGGGGTACCCCCATTTTAGAAAGGACCCCCCCATAGATGTCCCATCTTTTCCCGCGAAATCAATGGTTTTCTCCTCGACTGTAGGCCCGATAACAACGATCCCATGTGTTGATGGCAATTCATCAAACGCTCTCCCCAGGGTGAAAATGGGGATGGGTCAAAATTTCAATTAACCATTAGTGACCATTAACCATTAATAACCATTAATAACCATTAATAACCATTAATAACCATTAATAACCAGTAATAACCTATTAATAACCATTAATAACCTATTAATAACCATTAATAACCATTAATAACCATTAATAACCATTAATAACCAGTAAAAACCATAAATTACTTATTAATTACCTATTAATAACCATTAATAACCATTAATAACCATTAATAACCATTAATAACCATTAATAACCAGTAATAACCATTAATTACTTATTAATAACCATTGATAACCATTAATAACCATTAATAACTTATTAATAACCATTAATAACCA